TTGGAACAGACAAAAGAGACAATTGTGTAGAGCAAGCAAATGAGGGCAGGGGGGGCACCATGCAAAGTGCACCTTTTTCATGCATGTGTGTGTGCGTGTGTTACTTTTGTGCATCTGTGTGTTCCCCCGTGTGTGCACCACTGACATGCAACACAATAATTACAAAGTGTGTCTGTAAATGGAAGCCTATTATGACAGAAAAGAGATTAGATATGCTGTGTTCATCATGTAGTGCAAAGTGCCTGCCTTCAACATGTACAGAGGCTTGACCCAAAATTGAAAAAGCCACTGCGGAAAATAAAACCTTCAGAACAAAGTCATGGAGGTGGATGAGGGGCGGGACCTCCGAAGGTTACAAACAGACACCGAATGAAGCACAGAGTGGTAAACAGAGAGTCCGACTCACCTTCCCTGATACGATCTTTTCATAGATCTGGATGGGCTGGTCAGCAAAGAAAGGCGGGTACCCTGCTGCCATCTCATAGACCAGTACGCCCAGCGCCCACCAGTCTACGGCCTTGTTGTACCCCTGGTGGACAGAACGAGGACGGAGGAGAGGAGAGACAAAAAGAGAGCTTTATAGACAACTACCTTTTTAAACCTTAATTCATCATTCACGCATCCTTTCCTCGGTTACGTCTCATTTCTTATCCCGTTCAGATGTTCAGAAGGAAGAGATATGATTGTTATAAACAGCGTGTCGAAATATTTTTGTGATGTTCTACTGAGGATGAGAAGCATTCAAGGACGTCTTACAGAGAGCGTTCTATCGATACAGATGTCGTGATGATTGTTGTCGCGTGTTACATTTAAACAGTATGTCGTCTTCTTTTATACAGTCAAAGCATCTATTGAGGCTTTTTGACTAAAGCTTTGAATTTCTGTCGTCACATATTAAGACATAATCCCTGTTAAAGAAAAGAAAACATGTGAATTTAGTAACGATTTAGAATACATGTTGACGTTGGGACATTACATCATTCTGAGTTACTGGAAATGTTTGAATCACAGGAGTCGGAAACTGTGTTTAATAACAGCATGTGGCTGGTTTCAGGCCACATTAAGATGTACTTAGAGTTGTGCTAGTTTCACTGTTTACGTCTTGTTAGGAGGAACATTTGAGTTGCGTGTGCTCTATAGATGCTCCTCAAACCCACATGTGTTACAACTCTGCCAACTCAAATGAACAACTATCCTGTAAAGAAAGTGTTGTAATGTGTTTTTAACTCTATGCAACAAGTTGGTGTCATTGTTTGTTTAAATGCAGAATAACTTGTTTTTGAAAGGAAAGTTCACAAGATAAAAAGGAGGAACAATGGCGGCTCACCTTGCTGAGAATAATCTCTGGGGCTAGATATTCCGGGGTGCCACACAGTGTCCAGGTCCGGCCCTTTACGCGTTTGGCAAAGCCAAAATCTGTCACCTGAGAGAGGAAATGAAAGGGCATTGACAAACAATGAGTAGAGTGCCCAGCTGAGTTTTAGTGCATGACAGGCAGAAATAGACAGAGCCAAAGAGATGGAGCAAGGCCAGGATCTTGGGGTAGCAATGGGACTTTTCACCGGTTTATATTTCACTGTTCACCACTAGAGGGCAGCAGAATCTGTGTCACAAGAGAGACTCGGTGTGACGGCACACTGCTCGGTAAACACAGATCATTGCAAAACACACACTGCCATCATAGTTGCACTCTCTGGGTAGTTGTTGATAGTTTCTAGACGCAACCATGTCTGTGTGACATCACAAATAAAGGGGTGGGGTCAAGCCTTTTTTGGGACAGAGTATAACACTTCATATCCTCCCTGAGTCACGACACGTTACAGTAAGAGCCCACTCGAGCTAGCAGAAAGTGCTAATGTTGCCTTACATTTGCAGCTGTATCTGTGCACTTTATAGAAAATAAAATATAAATTCACATAAATGTTAAAATCTTGTAAGACAGCACACAAAAAGCAACACTGCTTTTTTTGTATAAATGTTGATGTGCTTTGTTGCATCAACATCAGAGATTAGCTGGCTAGCTTATGAGGCTAATGTTAGCTGCTGCACATCAGAATGTGATTACTTGGACAATAAGTATTAGAGCTGCGACAGTTGAGTTGATTAACAAATAATTCCATCGACAGAAAATGAGTCAGCAACTATTTTGATAATCTATTCATCAATTATGTCATATTTCAAGCAAATTTGACAAAGATTTCATGTTTCCAGATTCGTAAATGTTAGAATTTTCAGCTTCTCGTTGTCGTTCATTGTAAACTGAATATCTGGTTTTGGTCACACAAGACAGGATGTGTGATGACATCACGTTGGGCTCCAGGAAATTGTGATGGCAATTTTTCATAGTATTGGGATCATTTAAAGATTAAACAGTGAATCGAGAAATAATCCTGCAGATGAATTGATAGTGAAAATAATCGTAGTTGCAGACCTTATGAATATGAATTCATTTAAGTTTTTCACTGTTCAACCGTCCCTCCATCTCTCAAATGCTGCACAGATGTTCACAGATGTTTTAGACAAACTAAACCACGGGTACAGTGCCCAGCCGGGAAATCAAGGGGGGATTTGGCTCTAGGGCGAAAATCTGAGGGGTGAGGAGAACTCCCAGCAAACACACACAGCTGGGCCAGTCTGCATGTTTAGAAAGCCCGAAATCTCAACAGCCCCCGAGACTTCACAAGAGGGGCCGACCTTTTTCACCATCTGTCGTGAACTCCCGCCGACCTTCAATGATTAATTTAGGCCTCATGTGTGCGTTTCAAATCAAACGAATACATAAGTACGTTATGATTAGCTTTTGTACATCACTGCATCAAGTGTCCGTTACCTGTATGTAGCCCTGCTGGTCTATGAGCAGGTTCTCAGGTTTCAGGTCTCTGTAGATCAGGTCCAAAGCGTGAAGATACTCAAAGGTTAGAACGATCTGAGCGGCGTAGAACCGAGCGTGAGGCTCACTGTGCACACACAACCCCAACCAGAAGAGAGCAGTTTAGTGGAGTGTACAGTTCACAACATAGCTAAATAAATCAGAGTCGAGCTAAAAGAGAGCAGAAGAGAACAGAGCTGTACAGAATAGAATCAAATAGACTATAAGAGAATAAAATGGAGAACAGAGATGAATTGAGAGCACAGAGCGCCACAATTTACCTCTGCATGTGCCTACAAACACTAACCTAAATCTGCCAATTCTCCGTAGATGGGAGAACATCTCTCCACCTGGTACATACTCCATCACCATGTAGAGGTTAGTGTTGTCCTGGAGAGGACAAGACAGAGGGCCCGTTAGTGACACTCGCATACAGACACATATTAACGTACGTAAACACACACACAGGATGGACGACATGAAGATGGTATTTTGTGGGTGAATATAAATAAATGAACTGACTTTTATTTCAGGTATTACCATAAGAAAAGGCCAAATGTAACTGTGTCTATCACACATTTCTATACGTTGTTTTTACATCCTTTAACAGATGTAAGTACGGTAACACTAGCTTTACATTATTCTCGGTTGACGGCTGCAAATACAACTTACTGTCAAATAACCTGAACCGAGCTGAGCCAACATGCGTTTGTTGTTGACTCTTCCACGAGTGTGAAGGACGGGACATGTGGACAGGAAAATGTAGTTAATAGGTTTATTTGAGGCTTAACCTGAATGAGGCTTTAATTGGAGTATGGCCATCAGCTGTGGTTAGTCTGTACGAGCACAACCAGCCTCCGACAGAACACGGCTGTGAACATGCTGAAGACTGTGAGGCTCATTTCACTCCATGTTTGCAGATAAACACCTGATAGGATTCATTGTCAATGACGATGGGAGTGATGATATGGAGGAGATTGTAAATGAACAGATCACTGCATCAGGATTTACAAGTCAACACAATTTAAGAGAGCAGTTTATTTATAACACTAGGTATATATATATATATATATGTAGTTATATATTCTTGATGTGGTCTTTAACCAGAAGAGATCATATATTATTAAAACTTAAATGATTCATTTGGAGTGTTCAAATTGCATCGTCTGCCTGTTATATGCTTTATACAGAGCTACTGTAAACTGGGACGAAGTGAGATTGTTAATTAAATGTTTTGATTTTAGAAATATGACAATATCAAAATGTGAGTGAATATATTTCTAGATTATGATTTTATCTTCTCAGTTTTGGTTATTCTTTGATATGACACAAAGAAATAAAGCTTAAAACTTCAAAGGCAATGCTTTGGCCCTTAGCTTAAATAGTTAATAATCCACCAAGTTAACTAAAAACAAACGCTTTCATACAAATACACAAAAAGAGTCATCAGCAGTACGTGATTCTGCACAAACTGTTCACTTGACAGAAGTCAACTGGGTGAGCCGGGATATCTTTTATTTGTTTAACGGACCACTTTCATGAAAATGTAGACAAATAACTTAAAAGCTGGAATGGGGAAATGGGGCTAAGTAGATGAGTGGAAAGAAGGAAAATCTATCCAGTCACTCATCGACACACACACACACACACACACACACACAATCTAAAATTGCCCGTACCTTGAACGAGTACTCTAACCGCACCAGAAAAGGAAAGCTGACAGCCTGAAGAATCCTCTTCTCATTCAGAGTGTGCTCTATTTGTTTGAGCTTCACCACCTGAAAGCCACAAACAGAGAGAGGACAGTTTATACTGCATGTGTGTTCGTGTAGCTACCCAGGCAGCCCATTCATTTCTATTCCTGATGATAAAATAAACAAATAATACATTTAGTTATATGATATTAGTCTTATCATAAGATATGATATAAAGTACCTGTTAATAATGTTTTTTACACCATCACAGTCTATACTCGTGTATTAATACCTTATATTAATACCTTAGTTTTCTAACAGCAGCTCTGAGACAGTCTGCCTCCTTCAGGCTCGGCAAACATCTGCGAGCGTCTACATTCAAAGTACATTTATCTATTTTGTTTGTTCTTGTTCTGTGTATATGTTCACCTGGGAGACGACTTATTCAACACACACCTGCTTCTACGGTAACTTCGTACACCAGAAGTCTAACCTATACTGACAGGTACAAGATTTTCAAGATGTTTGAAGATTTATTCTCGTGAAATTGGCAAAAAAGTACAAACACAAGCTGAAACTTTGGAAACACATCAAGATGGGTGTTGCAAATATTATTATTTTTCCCACTTTTGGTAATCAGGTACACTAACATACAGTAATCATGGTGCAACGTGGAAATTGATCTTTCAAGTGTTAAATTCACTGGATCAGCCAATGAAACAGACATTCTCATCTTTGTATTTTATCTATAAAAATATGTATCTATAATATGTGAAACGCAGGCGCAAATGAATTCTACATTGGCTACTAAAATGACTCTACTCGATGTGCATTAAGACGACCTCAGCTCTGCCGCTCCGGTCGATGTCTGCTTCAGCACAAGCTTGTTCAAAGAGGTTCAGTGGGGAAAAGGTCTGCACCTGTGTTTGAATCTCTGCATCTTTGCACCAGCACACAAAGAAGGAGGCATTTTTTGTTAATATGCACGAATGTTCGGAGCCTTGTGAGTATCGATGTGACATTTCCGTATATATTTTCAATGAGCATCCTGCAGGTGTGTCCTTAAACAAGAGTCACGTTCAAACAGCCTCCGTCCCACCTGGGCCCTCCTGACCCAGACTGACCTTCTGCTTGTTGAGGATCTTCATGGCATAATGCTGTCCCGTTTCGTTGTGCTTCACAAGCATCACACGGCCAAATGAGCCCGTGCCGAGGGTTTTCAACCTCTCAAACTGCTCCAGGCCAGCAGTGTTCTGAACAGACGAAACAAAAAAAGGGAGTTGATTGTTGTGAAAATGGGATGGTGAGTGTTTTTCTAATGTGTCCTGTATGCTGACATTTACTATCTATTCTTTAGTATGTTTGTTTTTGTACCGGTAAGCAAATGCCCGAGTGTATGTGCATGATTTATGTTCTTACTACGATCACAGAGAATATAATGTACATCAAGCATTATGAATTTAATTATACATTTTTAAACTGAATCATCACGCTACGTATTTTACAAGCCACTTGCTTTATTTCACTGTCCAAACATATATAAATGTCCATTTACCAACAGTGGTAGGTGGGGTGCACAAATGAATATGGAAAACAAATGCATTACAAGAGGAATAGTAGCGAACACACCACATATACAGTTGATATGTTTGGTCACACAGCATAGGAATGTGCGTGTTTGCGTCCAAGACCATTCAGAAAACATTCACATTCCCGCTGCGTTCGATGGACGTCACACATGCATCCAAACACTAACCTGTGCAGGGCTCTCCCACTTCTTTAGAAAGTCCTCTTTGGCTTTAACAAGGAACTCCTTGACTGTGGAAGACAAGATCACAAGAAAAGCTTCAGAGGTGTGAGCAACAAGTGAAAGAAGACAGAAAACACAGGAGGATAGCTCCTGTGTTTTCTGTATTCGACTGCAGAGAGGACATGTATTTTCAGGAATGCAGCGCAGTTAAAAGTACATAGAAAGAGGGAGAGTAGAGAGTGAGACAAGCTGGCATGCACTGTAGCTCACTGTGACAAACTCAGCTGTATTGTTTGAGATTAAACTGGCACCTGTTGGAGGAAATATGTAATGCAATGCCTCAATGTTAACCAATGCGATATTTTTCATGAGAGCCTAACTTCCTGTTAAATGCCTTGATCTTCCAAACTCCACAGTCCAGGTTTGCACCACGGGGTTTCTATCAAAGTGTCATGTGAAACCTGCAGACGTAAGAAAGCTCCCACCACAACGGTTTCACTAAACTGAGGAGCACTCTCCTGACAAACAACAACACACAAGTCGTGTCTAATCTCAGCGTAGAGCCCCTTTAAGATAATTCTGGGTTCTGTATGTAAAGAATCAGCACATGTTGTATCGAGGATCATTTTCCTGCATTCAGAAGTCTACAAGTTGACTAACTGAACAGCACAACACAGTTTCATCTCAAACAGAGCAGCTGAGGTGGATGCCAGCTCGTTCTCTCCTCTCCCTCGTGTACTTTTAACTAGGTTCTAATAACCTGCTGGGAAAATATAGTTGAGTTAACTAGTAACACTTACTCACCCTTGAGCAAGGCACCAAGGCAAAGATGCTCACTGACCAAGGGTACATGACATGTGTGATGCACTCAGAGCTTCTTAAACCATAATTCATACACTCTTTTGTCGTCCCTGTCTCCTTTTCTTGGCTGTTTGTTGAAAAGTATATCTGGTTGATAGAAAACTGTTTGAATACCAATGCATGGTAAAAAGTCATGGTGAATAGGAAAGCCCCAGGAAATGATTACAGTCCAGTGGCCTCTGACTTTAGCATACTCTCATCCCCGTGCATAGCAGCAACTTCACATCAGACTGACTGTTGGCTCAGGGTTGGCTGAACTGAGACCAGTTCAGCCAACCCTGCACACTTCCATGGGTTCACGTTAATTAGATTCAGCTCACCCACACACCGTTTAAGCAGCATCTCTTTTCCAAAAGGAGTGGAGCAACAGGCCTGGAGTGTTTGGGACATATCTGACACTTAGTGTGTTGTGATACTGGCAATATTTCAGTACAGGGAATATTCCAAAATGCGTGCAGTGCACAACTGCTGTTGGACGCTGTGCAGCTCACACAGAGCTTTGTCTGTGAAAACAGATCCACATCCGGCTTCATCCTACCTCAGCATCCACTAAAATCACAGCCAAAGGTCCAAAACTGAACAGTACTTCTGAGCCTCGTCTGAGGAGAGACTCCCGATTCATCGAAATGTACACACATACAATGCTTTAATTTAAATGTATTACATGTATCATCTTGGGACTTGTCATGGACGTGCTAGTGGATCTTAATGAATGGGAAAGCAAGAACAGGCCTCTAATTAACACCGTATGGCTTGTTATGTAAAGCTACCACAGCCTGTTGTATCACACCGTTCTTTGATCATTTCATGAGGCTGCAGCCGAGCAGGTGTTGCTGAAGAGTGATGTGAAACATTACTGGCGATGGTACCCACCGCTTTCCATCTCGCTGCCCTTCCTGGCCGTGGGCGCGTTGCCCATGATGACAACTTGTCAACGGGCGATCCGTGGCTTTTTGGCCGCCCTACAGTCTTGCCAAGCCGGTAACTCGATTAGGTCCGAACGGTGTTTCCTAAATCCAGCTGTAGCAGTCACCAAGCGTTGCGAGGTCTTGATCTTTAATAGCCTGACAGCTGCTGATGCGGCGAGACGGTACAGTGGAGCGGGCTCACGCGCTCCACGGCCATCAACCACCGGCGAACGAGCTCGAGTTTAAATCCACGGGGAGCTATCGTTGTGGTGTCTCGGTCGCTGGGGCTTCACTGGACTGCCAGGCCGACCTTGTTGTCCTGAACACGGAGGATCCAGTCTTCTCCTGTCCCTCCTCGCAGCCCCCTCCGCGCGAGGCCCCCCCGGCTCCCCACCTCTCCCCCAGCCCACAAATAACCAGCTATACCGACGGCGGGGATGCACTGTTCTCAGTCGAAAGACTGCCGCTTTTCGTCACCGAACCCAGATTTCAAAAATTAATCCTCTGCGGGGTCCGACAACGACGCGAATTTGCCCAAATCAACATTGGCCCCCTGTAGCCTCGGAGACGGGCGAGATGACGGAACTACAGCCGAGCGAACATCCCGCCTACTCGCCAGAACCGGGGTTGATTGACGGCTAAAGCGAGGCTACTGATTGGTCACCTATCTACGATGGTGCCCCACGGAGCGCTCTGATTGGCCTTTGAATCTATCAACGACGGCAACGTACCGCCGCCCTACAAATAGCCAGCGACGGGAACGTCAACGATTATTTTCCTCTCGACGACGTCCGCGCCCACTTTCTCCGGTTGCTCTCCTCCATTGGCCTGTCGCGGCCGAACCGTGGGAATCTCGGTGAATGCGAGGATATCTATTGGCCGTTAGGATTGGCCCCCTCCTTCCAGAAAAAAAAACCTCCCTCCCCACGCGCCATCACCCCCCGCCGCCGAGCGACTGATACACGTTTGGCTAAGTGACGTCAACCGCGAGCTATTTTTAGAAATGTTGGTCAGAATATAACGCACGCGCGGCGCAGTCTGGTTGGCAGGACTTCTAAACAGATCGCAGACGGCCGTGCATGGAAGGAAGAGTTTATCTGGTGGGAAATGAATCACGAGAAATATATATATATATATTTATATATATATTTTACAATCGGTTGAGAATGAAAACACGCAGAGCCTCATACTATCTGTGTACCAACAACCTCTACAGTCAGACTGTGTTCCTCGCCCCACATCTGGTGTACCTACAGGGCGAGTGCAGCAGATGCCCAAGGGCCCCTATTAACAGGATCCTCAAAAGGCAACATTTCACATAGATTTGCATCTGAATGTCTTATTTCAATAATAATTTCAGCTTGTGTTAAATAAAAAAAACTAAAAAAAACCTGAATTTAAAAAGGAAATAGTACACAGGTGGTTAAGCACACATTTGCATCAAATTCACATATTTGAAGAACCAAACGTTAAAGTATTCATTGTGCAGAACAACACATTTCAGAACAAAAACAAATGACATTGTTGGATTATGATCATTGATGAACTCCAATATGTACATCAATTTAATGTTGCAGCTGAACAGTGTAGACGTGTGCAGAGCAGACCGAGGGAACAGACGGAGGAGCTGGTTGCTTCAACTAGGAGGTGAAATGGGTGAGAGCAGACAGCCCCCCCCCTCCCTTGCGCTTCAGTTGCCAAGCAACATGAGGCTAGAGTGAAAATGGTGGAGTGAGGCTGCTGCATTTTATGAATGAAATTGGAAAAAAAGAAAGAAGCCAGGGGAGGGGAAAGCACACTCTCGCTAGTGTGCTTCCTTCCTCACTAGTGAAGGTGGAAAGCAGCTGTGTAATTAAGATGTGGCGATTAGTAGCACCAGGTCCACAAAACAAACTTTATTAAGCCCATCACAACCCCCATCGTTACAAATACGGAGGCAGAGAATATATAGTAAGTACAAAAAGAAAATGTGCCTTCCCATCTTGGAGACAATATAAGCACTGAGAAAACATTATTTACATTAAACCTAAACAACTCGACTGTAATCCAGAATCCAGTTCTCCTTCACCTCCATGTTTTGTGTATCATTAGAGACAGACATTATATGTCACATTATTAAAGAACAATAACTGAACTGGGGCCTGTTTGAAGAGTTATCTGGATCACTCAAGGTTTAAAACTCAAACACAAGCTTATCTAGCTAACAGTAAATAAAGCTAGTTCTTGCAACAGGCCCCTGAACATGACACACATTTCAAACCCTAAATTGTCCTACTCCAAGATGCTACACATTCACAACAATGAAACGCTTTATTATAAACAGCTAGCACTGCCCATATCTTTGATCAGTGCTCAAGAGGACACAATGAACAGCACAGTATGGGCACCACACAGGTGAACATCAGCGTGTGAGTATTACTTGCAAATCTCAGGGCTGTGAGGATATGGCGGTATTAAAATCGCCCCACCCCGATGACTCAAAACTTTCCCTGGCTCAGCTTTGACATTGTCTAAGACGGAGCTATAGTAAAATAAGGCAAAGCTGGTTGTGCAGGCCTGTGTGTGGTGAGAGAGAGAGAGAGAGCACAAACAGACAGAAACAGTTTGTAACAATGCCAGAGTCATCCCATTTGCGTATGCTGTATAAAAATAATGTCCTCGATACATCCACGGCCTTCTTGTCCAAATGTGTGTTTGAAATGTGGATGAGTACATACGAGAAGAACCTCTTGTCCATTATCTTAATCTGATGATTTTTTTTTTTTTACATGCAGTCCATGGAGTTGTCCGGCATCAGTCCAAGAGGTGGCATCTTTCCTGGTATACAGGACGGAGGGAGCATGCCGCTGATGTTGGGGGACGGGTCGACATTCTCGCTGTCCTCCATCTTGTCTGCCGAGCCCTCCCAGTTGATATGGAAGCGGGTGACACGGGGGTTGGAGGCCAAAATATTCCTCAGGAGCTGAGAGAACAAAAGCAACATTGGTGAAATGTCAGAATTCCTGTGAGTGGTGGAGATGTCCTGACTTTTAGTCCCAAATATGGGTCAAGTTCTACCAAACCTTTCCTTAATGGAACTAAACAGCATCTGTTAATTAGGCCCTCCGTGTCTGGTTAACACCCTCGTCTGTCAAACTCCATGCCCCCTGCTCGGGATGCAGGCTTTCAGGAAAAGAAAGTGCAGTCTCTCAAACTGAGATGAGAGAGAGCGAGAGCGAGACTAAACCAGAGTTGGTAATTGTTGGAACAGCAGAAATACTAACCAAGATGGTTTGGGAGATTTCTATTTTGTGTTGAGTTTGAATGAAATGGGTTTTACGATGAGTTAACGACGCAATTTAGCCAGTTAGTCCGGTGACAGAGAGAAACGTGAATTCAGAAGGCGCACAGACAATTGTATACAGAATAATATTGAAAAATTATTGGAAAATTCTAACATGGTGTTGTCTCCAAATTGCTATTCTGTAAGGGTGCACAGATGTATCTGTCCAACATCGGTATCAGCTAGCTGCCAAATTGTTATTTGAAACATCGGTATCGACCCATAATTTCACGATCGGTGCAAAACCAAAGATATTTAGTCTTTTCCTTTAGAATAAAGAGATGACTACAAAAAAAATATTCTCTCTCTCTCTCTCATGTTATACGTCTTTTTTTAATGCTACTGTTGCCTGTTCTGCTCCACATATCTGGAACAAAGTCACAGAAAGCTGCAGGTCTGCAGAGACCCTCAGCTCCTTTAAATCAAGATTGAAGACTTTTGTTTGCTGCTGCCTGTAATTGAACCAGATTCAAGGATATTAATCAATTTCCTGCATTTCTCTACTGTATTTTCTTTCTTACACTGCTTTTTAGTGTTTCAATGAATGTTCTTAACTTTTTAAAATCTCCTTCTTTTGTCTTGTGTTTTGATGCTTTTAATGGTTTTATGTGAAGCACTTTGAATTGCCTTGTTGAAATGTGCTGCTATACAAATAAACTTGCCTTGCGAATTCTATTTCAGATCACCAGAGGGCAGTAGAAAACTGTGCATGTTTCAACAGACTCTTATTTCACAAGGATGATCATAAACTAGTCAACTCATCAGATGTGTTTAGTCATTTAGTCTTTTTTTCCATGCTTCATGACTTATTTTCAACTTCTGAACACATCTCTGGTAAACAATATTTGAAGTGGTGATTCTTTACAGATCTGTCAATAAAATAAACTTATCGATTAGTTGACAAAGCTGTACGAGTGTTGGTCAACCAAGAATTCCTTTGGTGAAGGACAGCCCTGTAGTATACATGAAAACAAATAAAATAGAAAAGAAAAAGAAGCGCTAGAAAGATAAAATGTATCACGATTATTATGCTGCCATTCGTAACAGAAATCAATAATGGTCATCTCCGAGTGTGTGTGTGTGTTACCTGAGCGTAGTCTGGTTTGAGGGGGGGGTTTTCCCGTAGTTCAGGGTCTGTGTATTCATTGTTGACATAGTAACCAATGCGGATGAACTCCTGTCCACGGTAGGTGCAGGTTATAAGGACTACAGTCACTCCTACAGCGTCGCTCTCTGGAATCAGCCCGGTGTTAGGAGCATCCGCCTGAGGGGGCAGACAGGAACACAACGAGGGAGAAATCAAATACATGTGTCCAGCTTTCTTTGATTTTCAGGCCTAGTACTCAATGGCTTCTGTGGTCTAGCAGTATGACATGAGCGGTAACATGCGACCACAGCTCACTGACCTGAAACACAAACATGTGTCTGCCAGCCGGGACCGGGCCAACTAGAACAGAGTCCAGAACCTGGTCATATTCCTCGCTCTCAGCCGAACCCACGTAGATGATCTTCCACTCCAGATCTGATACCACAGACACACAACAGAGAGACATACCATGTATTTATTTCTGTTTGTAAGGAATACGAGTTACACACAGTATTCATTACTGTGCTTTGACAAATCAGCAGCTTTTTATACATACGTTTAAAGCAGAACATGTAGACACTTTGAATCACTCAGATTGTTTTGAAATTACAGCTCCAAAGGTTAAGTGGTACTCCCAGTAGCAGACACACGCTACCGCTTCCTTGTTGTCTCTGCCCGCGGTTCGCGGCAACTCGTTAAACTGGTCTGTTGCTACAGTAACATAACGAGATCAACCAATCAGCTTCACGCAAAAAAACTCCGAAGAACATCCACGAACCAATCAGCGCAAGCAGGAGGCGGGGCGCTGAGCATAAACGCGCCAGCGCCAATTTTCAACAACTTGTCAAATGAAATATCACTATCCAGCACACAAAGACAGCTAACACGTTAGTATATCGTCGAGCTACACGGCACGCTAATCTATTACTTGCGATGCACCCCATCTACCCTCAACGTACAAGTTACCACTGAAGCAGAATGCGCACAGAGAGGTAGCTAGTACCAAATAGCTAACATACAACAAAGAACAATGAAACTGGCATTACACGTTAACGTTAGCTGAAAACTATACCCACCTTCCGGTAAATCCTCCATGCATTCAAACGTTATTTCAAACTGGAAGGGATTTCCAAATGGGCTCGGGTTGTCCAGCACAGCAACATTTAAGACTTGTACCTTGGCCATAGCGGTAATCTTCTGAGGCACCTCGACCTGGCAAACTAATGCGCTCTTCTCTTACGTGAACAAGGTTTAACGAGTCACTCGGTGGTTTAATGTCGCTGTGTTCCCGGACTTTGAAGTTGCCTGTCTTCAAGACTGTCAGTTAAACTTTGATTATTTTCTTCTCTGAGAACAGTAACATGACCTAGTGGCTGGAATACAGGAAGTACGTCACTTTCTTCTTCTTCTTCGCCGTCTTTATTTGTAGCATTTAGCTACGCGCTGCTGCCCCCCAATGTTCATTTGTTAAACAGCAGATCAAAATAAAGTACTCACGTTCACATGACTTCACCAGGATGTTCAGTGTGTGTCACTTAGGAAGTTCAAGAGTTAAAATTAAGGATAAAGCTGTATAAGGAACTTTCCAGGATATTTAAAGTGTCACTGTGGGTTCTTATGAGTTAAATATCCAAAGGTGGTTTAATCTTTCAGGATGAATCTTGAATCTTTCTGTTTTAGATGATGTAGTTGGTGATTAGTTGGATCATATGGACAAGAAAAAACATAAATAGAAGGAAGTCACAATTCTGACATACAAGCGGTGTAACTGAAAATGATAAATTGTAGATGCACATTACCATACAGTGGAGATTTACCGTCCAATTTATAAATTGGGGAAAGGGATATTGTCTGTGTGTGTGAGGAGCCACGGTCACAACTGTCTGTGTGTCAGGAGAAATCCAGGTAATGTCCTAAATTCCTTTTTGTCAGTGGTTTTGCAGTGACCTGAAAGACCTGTTCATTGCTGCTGCATTAATATTTTCACTGATTGATTTATATATGACTTTATTATACAGTAAACAGATGACGACACTGATTTACATTAAATAAAACTCTGTGTATACGACACGGACCATGACGTAAATCATATTTAGTTTTAATCAACACAGTGTAACACTGACTTTTGCATTTACTGTATCTCATAGCTAGAAGGAGGACACAACTGAAAGCATTTCATTTTTTAATTAAAATGATTTCTATTGATGTTGTGATTTTGATTTGACTTGTGGGAGGAAACTGCGTGCAGAGGGTAAATCCAAGGAAACTCCCCACAGCTAGAATCCAGCCTGGGGATCCTCGACTGTGTTAACCAGTGATCCACCGGTTAAACACATTCATTAATTAGGTATTAATTCATAAACACTGCCTGCTATTAAAGCGTGGCACTGGAAAATCAAAATGTGACACAACAACCGCTATGACATATTAAAAAGCACAGTGTGAAAAAGGTGGTTAGAACCTCATAAACTCAGATACAGCACCTGATACAGTACCGAACTCCCAGAGTCACATAAATCACACATTTTTATTTAGTTTCTGTTTTATTGTATATATTGATAAGTATTTCAGAATTGCCATCTCTCTGTGTTTATTTCCCCTTAGACTGACTGGGTTGTCCTATTTCATAGTTGCTGGGTTGGGAGGCACTTCAGATCCAATCTATGTGCACAAACACTGAAAAAGGGAGTTTTTCAATATAAGTCTCCTTTGATTGTCTCACACACATTTATTTACTGGTTTTCGTCATTGAATGTGGCAGTAAATTGTATATCTTTAGGTTTTGGAACGTTGTTGGGACAAATCAAGCAATTCGAAGGTGTACCCTTGGCCTGTAATTGTATTTAAAGATATTTTGGAAAAGTTAGCTTGACTCTTTTCAAAGTTAAATAGTATGCCCAAAAGCAAGTCTAAAGCTCACAATAAACACATCGTATCTCATTTGTTTAATCCAAGATTTGTTAAAACAGCCCGTTACAGTTATATGGGGTTGTTGTGAACAAACAATCAGAAGCAGTGACTTCTCCACAGGTTGCTTGGCAACTTCATGATAAATACAGGTAAACTATTGTGCCAAGCAGCTGGCTGTCAAGTCAAAGTAACAGCATGTCAATCACCGTGAATCACCATTTTACAGTTATTTTGTTTTGTTAAGAACCAAGCTTTCCATTTGCTTTAAGCCTTTTTCTAAGCTGAGAGCCATCTGACTCCAACTACATGCTGAGCATGTGAGACGAGCATCAAAACGTTTTTTGGTCACTAGACCACCATCACCACATAATTTAAAAAAAAAGGGCTAGGTATGACTAGATGAGCAAATGCAAATAGATAATTTAATTATGCACCACAAGATGAAAGGGGAGCTTTTCTTCTTGGGAAATTTAAGTTGTTTGTGTATCAGTAGGAATACATCTGTTCATTGATTATCGTCAAATCCATTTTTTGTCAACAATACTGTTGGACATGGATAAATTTATACATTTTTGATAGATGCCAGCTTTATTACTGCTGCAGTTCTTACTAATTGATCTATATGAGCTGTTATATATTCGGAATCACAAGCGATTGAATTTTATTTCATTCTTTACTGTTTAACTTTCTATGCATCAGCCCACTGAGCTCGCTTAACACAATCAAACTTCTACTTCAAGTTGAACTTTTTACTATACATTTACCATAACCAACATAACAGTAATTACTTTGATCTGTAAAGAAGACACAGAATTATTGAGACCATTTGGTTTTAATCAATACAGTACAATATCATAGGCCCTTATGTCCAATAGAAGGGGAAGTTTTATATAAGGATAAAATCCAAAATAAAATCTATTTAAAAAGAGCACTTTATTTTGTTTGGTTTCACTACTGGTTACATCCAAAGACTCGGTACTGCTCGACCATCTCCGCCATGCCCAAACAGGTACGTCTGTGTTCCTCAGTTTGACATTGTTTGTCTGTGGGCCAATACTCAATCCAGGTTCTCTCTCCGAGTACATACTGATGCCTGAGGAGAGCAAAGGGAAAAATGCATTGGTTCTTCATGTGAACAGCTATCTGTAATACGCTGGAACATAACATGAAAAAGCCTCCTCCCTCCTTCTTTACGTTAATTTACTCTGTCAATAGCAACATCAACACATAAACAAAAGAACAAGAAAGGCAAACTTGATTTTGTAATAGAAAGCAGTAAAACTGTAAAAAAAAACATTTACATACACACACTTTCACACAAAGAACAAGCTTACGATTGTGCTTGGTCATCTCTGTAAATATCTGTGGATGCGCCCATGATAAGGTAGTTGTTGCCTGTTCTCAGATCCAACGGATCCCTGCAGTGTGGATAACTGAGCAATGTGCGCACTTTATTCAGAGGACCCACATCCTTGCTTCCTGTAATTAAAATATAAGAGAACATAGAAAGGGTAAGGATTTAATGCATAGCCAAAGGTGCAGTACAGCACATTAGTGATGCGTTGTCACATATTCCCAGTGCCACAGTGGAATCATGCTTCACGATATAGTTGGACATACGCTTATTCGATTTCTTGCAGAGAGTTAGATTGATACCTCTATTGATACCATGCTCATGACTGTACAGCAAATGTGCAGAAGACAGCCGGCTAACTTAGCTTAGCATAAAGACTGGAAACAGTTAGCCTGGCTCTGCACAAAGGTAACAAAATCCACCTAGAAGCACCTCTAATATACTCTGTTTAATCAATACAAAAAATGAATTGGTAAAATATAATTCACCTTTTTAAAGTGTCAGTGTGAAGCAATTTAGGGGATCTAATGGCATTAATTAGTATATTTTCTTCAGAGTATAATCATCTGAAACTAAGAATCATGTTGTTTTTGTTACCTCCGAATGGACCGTTTACAGTATATCTACATAGAGAGCAGGTCCTCTTCATTGAGTCTGCTATGTTGCATTGCCATGTTTCTACAGTAGCCCAGAACGGACAAACCAAACTCTCCAGATGGAGCCATTCGCGTTGGCCACCGAAGTTCTCCTACACGCTTGACACACGGGAAAAGTTTCGGTTGGTTGCAATCTGCAACCTCACCAGTAACTTCCTGGAGTGTCCGCTTGTTACCAATGCGAGCTAACTGGGCTGGCTACTACGAACATGTGAGTGGTACCAGTCTTCTCACCTAACTCTGACAAAAAGCAAATATGCACATGTCCCAAAATGATAAATACCCACCTTCTTTGATGACTTGCAGTACCCGTACTTTGTAAATATCAGTGGACACACCGTCTGTAAACTCTTCCAGTCCCACTCTGTACGCTTAGGACGGACAAGTTGCAGATTGTTAGCGGAGTTGCTTATACTTGCTAGTCTCTTACTCACACCAACATACATTCTTTGTATAAAAGTGCTTTATAAAGGCAGTCACTCTCACTTACCAAAATCTATTTTATTGTTCAATTCAGTCTCACAGACCTTAGCCGTGCGCTGGTCATTGCTGACTTGTTCCTTCTTCTGCATACTGCAGTTCTCTGGAAATACACAATGCACAACAAAGTAAAAACACGACTGATGACCCTATGAAATAAACCCATGTGCCTGTGAGAGGGAGAGTTGGTGGGTGAGTGAAGCTGTATCTAAATCCCAATTTAAGTAATTCCTTATCTAGACTGATGCTGTGATACGACAGGATCCTGCAGGTGCTTGTTGCCTCTGACAACAAGTTCTGATCATTATGTTACAATCTGTTGATTTACTGTAAACCAGTGTTAATTTTGAAAGCTGTTTTATATTTAGTCTTATTCAGCATTCACATGGAATCAGGCAGACCGTAGAAGCAGACGGACGCCTTCTGGACGGCACTGGACAAACCAACCAACAGTCATACGTAATATATTGCTATGGTGCTGGAATAAACTATGTTAAATAAAAGTATTTCACATCTACTATTTTACGTAATTATCCTTATAATGCATGCAACTATAAAATGCAGCTTTCTCTTAATTTTCTATTGCAAAGTTCAACAACTTTGTCCTTCCGTGAGGGAGCTACACAACATCCGATTGTAAATTCTGTCACAAATGATGTCAAAAAGTTAAAATGTTTTATCTTTGGACGGTAATAATGTCTGCTGTTACCGTTGACGGTATTCTCTGCCGACCTCACCTGATTTTACTGTCCTGCTCTCGTCCGGTAAAATAATATCTGGTTTGTCGTCTATCGCCTGATTGCATGTGAATGCAGCATCTGTCTTAGACTTTAGATGGAAATGCTTATTTGTTGTAATCACATTTTAGGCATTTTCATCCTTCATAGTTTTAGTTGACGACAACTCAAAATGTTTTTGTCCAGTTTCAGTTGAAGAAAAGTCATTACATTTTAGTAAACTTTTAGTCAAAAATGTTTCTCCTCTTGATTTTGTCAGTTATTTTTCTATATCAGCAAAAAAAACAATAATTGTAGTATTATCCGAAGAAAAACCCAGGTCGAATGATTAAGAATGCAGCTCAGTCCAGTCGCACCCACCGGGCCCATCGTGGGAGTCAATGCGCCCCGCCCAACATGCAACATGCTGTGTGAGAGTGTGTGTGTGTGTGTGTGATGTGAGGGTTCCGGGACAGAGGATGTCGTATGTGTACAGATTGAGGCAAATTTGTAATTTGTGATTTTGGGCTATACAAAAGTAAATTAAATTAAATTGTGTGTTTGTGCGTGTGTGTGTGAGACAGAGTAGTTTGACATCATCCTGTTTACCTTCAGCACATGTGCATTCATCATTTTGACAGAGCCGCATTAACTCTCCAGCTTTCCTCTCTGGATGGTAGAATTTCACACAACGTGTTTCTGGAATGGAGAAGAAAGACATTTGAAAAGGAGTTTGTGTTAGATCCAGTACATCAGAACATTTACATTAAATACTTTGAGAATGTAATATCGACTGCTCATCCGCAGAGTTGTCTACTCTGACATCTATTGGCAGCAAAGGACATGGAAGCATCATGTGTCTCTAAGTGACTCTGAGACTCACGGTCATAGTATTCATAAACAGACACAGCAGCTGGTTGGAGGACGCCCACTTTCAGCGTCTGATGGACCCTGAAAGTGATCTCCTCGGGTCGTGTGTGAGAAACCTGTGGACGAAGGTAGGATGGAGATCAACACACAAAGAACAAGGCGGAGAGAAACATTATAAAGGCATGAAACAGGTGATGTCTTACCTTTTCCAGGTAGATGATGAGTGAGCCTCTTTCTGACAGGACTTTGTCCATTTCATATTTCTCAATGGTGCGAGCACGACCGTTGGACAACTACACACACACACACACACACACACACACAGTCAGACAACTTTCTAAACCATAAAAAACAACTTGTTTCTCCTAATAAACAACTTGACTGAACTGTCTGTGGGTATACGTGTATCTGTCAGTTCTTACTTGGTCCAGGTCCTTTGTGTTAACAGTGAAGCCAGTTAACAAGCCAATATCCAAGATTGACATGGATGCATCGCTGTTCTTGTCCTTATACCTACACAACGAACAGACAGAATAATAAAATAACGGCATAAAGGAGATGGAGAGAAAGAATGATGTTAATTATGTTCGAAAATGTTCTATAGTCATGTTACTGTAACACTGGTCTGTATGACATCTTTATTGTACTCACAAAATCTCTATTCTCAGCATGTATACCATCTCATCCTCATCCATTTTCTCAGCTGGAGCAAAAGTAATTAAGTATTTAGTTTATGGAACTTGGCAGAAACAAACTGATAAAATAACAAATAAACAGAAAGAGAGGGAGCGCACCACATTACCTGGGAGGAGCTGCACAGTCATGTCAAACTTCTGACAGTCACTCTCCTTTTCTTTGGGATGAGCGTAATACAGCGACACCATCTGTCACATTGATAAAAGTGCGTCGCCAAATGTGACAAACTAATAGCAATGTGTCTTAAAAATAAAGTCCACACAAGGTTAAACCTGTATTTGGTCTCATCTGAGACTCAAAAAGGATAAATCAACAATCAACAGATGATAAAACTCAGAATCTGAAAACATATTGTGCTTACTGTCAACGTTGCTTCTCCTGAGCCGGTGGCAGTCACTGTCATATTCTGGTGTATATCATTGATCTGTGGGAATTTAAATATGCACACAAACACGCTCGCGGTCAGGGATCGGCAGAATAAACCTACAGGAAACAACAGGAGTGGTGATATTAATGAGCCACAGAGAGTCCGTTTGTGTTTCCTCTCACTTTAGATGTTCTGGTGGCGTAGTGGTTGTTCCTGTTGAAGTTGAACTTGTCAGGCCTTGACCTGCCCGTGAACAGGATGTCCACATTCAGATCATACTCTGGTTCTTTAGCACTGGCCCAGTACTCTGCTATTGCCTGGTACACTATTATGGTAGCCTAGAGAGAAAAAGAGTGAGAAAACAAGACTTAGAAAAAACAATAATAAAGTAAACATAGGATGGAGGTATCAAGATGCAGAGAGAGGTCAGTGTTACCTGAGTTGATCCATAGCCTCCGCCCACCGACTGCTGCCTGTTGAACCATCTCACAACAGGTCTGGCTTCTTCAAAGGCCTTTATTAACAAAAGGAAAGTAAATGGTTGACATTTCCTGTGGTCTGTTGCATATAGATTAAAACAAATAGAGAGATGTCCTGATTCTGGTACAGTTGTATTTTAGATTATAACCTGTCAGTTTCCAAAGTTTCCAAGTCTACCATAGAGCTTCTAAATCTGTTTTTCCTAATATGGCACAACCAAACAGCAGCTACTTGAAACTTGAAACCATCATTTTAAGGCATTTGCGACATGCTCACCTTGGCCTTGACCAGAGCAAGAAGAGCATAAGCTGTGGCCTCCAGCGTGTAAACACGTCCTTTAGGTGTCGGCCAGTAGGACAAGTCTGGAGAAGACGCACACAAAAAGCTTTTATTACAATGCTGTACCTTGAACAAAGCTTAATTCACTGATAATTCCCCAATTCCTCGTCTTAGAATATTTAATGTAGAAATAAAATAAAAAAGAAGAAAGTGAAATGTCCTCAATTTAAACATTTTAAACTAATCTTTCTATCTTTCTACATAAGAGCCCGACTGAGAACAGATTATTAAGAACAATGCAGATTATTGATATTACACAGAATCTGATGTTTGGTTTTAACACTTAACACAAACAAGGATTTCTGATAAAAAATCCCTTAAATCTGTGTAAATGAGTCACTGTTTCTAAATCACTTCAAACATATCTTTGACATGTTTTACCCAATAATATCGCCCAACACACCACTGTGTTGGTCGGGCTCAAATACATTTATTATAGAAACTATTAGTAGATATGTAATATCCTAAACTCTACAACATAGAATCTGTTTCTGAAAATGAGTTGAAGAATATTGTTGTGTGACGACACCTGGGGAAACAAAATTGTAGAGGATATCCTGGTTCAGTTTGTTTTCATTTGCCAGAGCATATGACGTCATTGCAACAGCATATGGGTTGGTGAGGCTGGGCAGACGCCTTTCCAGATAGACCACTGCTTTGCCTATACTGGCAGGCAGACTCTGGACGAAAGAAAGGAAGGAGAATGAGGAGAGAACAGTCGGATAACAGTCATCCATCCATTTTAAATATCCCATTCTGTTCAGGAATGTTGTAACATTTGATCCTGGGACATTAGACTGAGTTACTATTTTGAGTGTGTGAAAGAGTCATTTTAGCACAATTGACCATTCGATAAACCCCTCCCCTCGAACAGCAATTGCTATTGTGGTTTAGCAACTGTAACTAGACCCAAACTAGTATTCAAACTGTTTTTTTCAGCCATTCTAAAACTAAAAACACAAGAGCAAAGACATAAGGAATGGGTTAAACTGAAAATTGAACGGAGAGCTCCATAGGAGTCGCGACAGTAACTAAGAGAGACGGGACTTTGCAAATGGTGAGTTGCTTCATCATCAGAAAGCGTTGTTTCGTCCATCACTTGAGCAGAATCTGAAAATTAAGAAATAAAAGCAGTGGCGGGAAAAGAAAAAAGATCGTACAGTAGGCTACTCACGTTAACAGTGGCATCGCATACTGTGCGTGACTCCTGCATGGCAATGAGGCAGAAGGCCGTCATGGAGGCATCTGTATCTGCGCCGAGAACATCACCCTACATGTACGGACACAAACGTGTTGATTGATACAAGGTTGTAGCCAGTGACGTGGAATTGTTTCCATCTTGGTATTTTGTTATTGACGATAACTAAATCAGTTTACGTACAATCATCTCTCCGTGAATAACCGCTCCTTTATCTTTAAACAAGCCGTCAGGTTGCTGCGCGTTGAGAATCAGATACTTAATAGCTTCACAGATGTCTTTGTTTTGCACTGCCACCAGACTGTTGGCCATGGCAAACACCTTGGCAACATAGGCTGTCAGCCTTAGAAAGGAGAGGAGACGTTTAGTTTCCTTTATTTGCACATGAAATACACCATCGTCAGACTTTAGGTTAAAGGAGAAACATTTGTGTGTTTGAGTTCTTGGATATTTGAAAGCCTCACCAGGCGCTACTTTGGCGTGTGGGAAACGCAGCAAAAGACCCATCCACTTTACGGTAATTAAGCTCGTGCTTGTAGCCTGGAAACAAACAAGAACACTCAACCAGTTTAAGAGCCCTGTTACATTTTTCTCCTGTTATAATTGCATCTTTCAAATGATTCTGCTGGCGTACATTTTTGTTTGTAGTCAAACTTATATAGTATATGTATTGCATTCAGACCACTAATACTTCGTGTCTCTGCTTGGGTCTGTGGGGCAGTGGTAACATGCATTGCTGTCTGCTATACTGTTTTTCTTTTTCATACCACTTCTGCAATGTCAGAAACTTAAAAATCCCACATAGAGGGGCATCAATAAGATTCCTGGTATCTGTGCCAAAACCTACCAGTCGTGATGTGTTGGAGGGCTTCTTTACGTTTCTCAAAGCCCACAGTTTCCCACTGGTTGGTTTTGTCCAAATAAATTGCTGCAATGACAGGTAGAGTCATGGTGATCATGTTCTGCTCACCACAGCCTGAGGGTTGTCTGATCAGACTACCCAAAGACGTTCCGCTAATGGCGTTCTCCACCAGTGCAGAAACTTGTTCTCTCCCTGCATTCACACACACAAACAGAAAAAAATGAAACGTTACAAAACAACACGAAGAAACATCTAAAGAAACATGCAATGGTCCCCAAAAACCAGGGAGGTGGTCAATTCTCAGTAAGAACAATGCCAATTTACAACAGTTCATTTTAAAGGCACTATGTCACATAACGTGCCCAAATATGACATAACATCTCACCTGTCACAGAGATCTGTATGCTAGTAGGTGTGTCTTGAACCAAATCTTTCTTAGGAATTCCACTGATGAGAGTTTCTTCTTGTATACCAGCTGAAGGGATAAACAGTGGGCAAGTTGAGGGATCAATTCGCAAGTGATAAAAACACAATGTTACCAAATTACTATATAATGTAGCTGTTTATGGGTAAACTCACATACACCTTGAGTAGAGGGGTCTAGAACTATAATCTGAGGAGATTGAACCAGTACTCCTTCAGGCTGGAACAACAACAGTTAGGACAAACATTACAACTCACAACTATATTTCCGTAGTCTGCATACAGTATGGCTTGCTTGTTAAAATCTTCTCTTCATTTTGAGAAGACTGATACAGTACACATGTGTGTTTCCCTATGCTGACTTTAATAACACGGGAGGTCGCTGTTTCTCTTACCACCACCCGCAGTATCTTCCTGATTCCATCGTGGAGCGAGGAATCTTTAACAGCTGCTTTGACCTCAATGCTGTATTGTCCTTTTTTCATGGGAATAATAACGAATGGCACCGCGCGTGTAGTATGGGGCCCGACTGTGACCTCTTGACGATACTTCCCACGTTTAGAGGCTGCACTGCACACATGCTCCTCCTCTATGAGATCCACACGCACCTTGAAAGCAGAAAGAGAGAAAGAGAGTCAAGTGTGTGTAACTGTCAAAGATGAAGACCCCCATCAAAGACCAGAGTCAGGAGTTAATTTGTTCTATTTATTTTGAGCGCCACTCGTTGTATGTCAGTCCAATATTTACTGTTGTTTTTGCACTTTTGTTTGAAATCGCTTTAGAGAACAATATCTTGGTCTAATGAAACGCCAGAGCAGAGGAACACAGACTTACGGTGGCAGGATCCTCGCTGTAGTTGTGGAGGATTGCTTTAACTTCCACCTGCTCTCCACGGACAGCAGAGTACGGCAGCTTAAGATCAACGAAGAATTCCTTAAAGACAATTACCTCTAACGGATCGCCAACACAGATTCCTTTAAGATGAGATAAAAACAAAGAAACAAGAGATGAATGAGGAAAAAAGGGAGAGAGAGAGAGAGAGAGAGAGAGAGAGAGAGAGAGAGAGAGAGAGAGAGGTGTAAAGGATGGGAGAGGTTTATAGATTTTAGTCACTGAATCCTCACCGTGAGTTTTTGACAGACTAATGCCAGTGAACTGCCAGGTTGTGATTGAGTCTTGCAAAGGAACATGTTTTGTGAATGATGTGGTGTCACTGAAACAAAGACAAGGGTTAACACTTTGAGAGGTAAAGGGTAGCTTTAAATCCTAGTGGTGTCAGTGTGAAGTTATCAGTATATTTTGTGTGTGCATATGTCAGTTGACTCACCAGTTAGGTGTTTGTAGAGGACAAGCAGGCAGTTCGAAGTCTGACCACAGCCAACTTTCAGGGAAGTTGGTGCGAGAAACTATTTCATTGCTGTCCATGTAACTGTTGTCATCCACCTCACCTAAAGTGTCATCAGAAATGTTACTATTTCCATTCAGTATGACCATGAATAGTAACCACTCAGAGCTTCACATCATCCCCTGTCCCCGTCTCTTACTGCGAGCAAGTAGGAGGCTATCCTCCTTCCTGTCAGCTCGCTGGGCCTCCATCTCCTTGCAGCAGTGCAGGAAGGCCGTGACACAAGCTCTACCATCACTGATGTACTCGCTGCGCCTCTCACATGTGTAGTTGAGAAGGGTTTCCTTCATGCCATCCAAGCAACAATCACTCTGCAGCTGGTCTTTATATTGACTCACTGGGAAGAAAGAGGGTTGTGGAGGAGAGACAGAGGTGAGAAGATGCAGACCACCAAGAAGAATTGTGAACTGAAAAGGCAAATTAGAAATAGAAATTGTGCTTCTTAAATTTGCATGCCCTCTTACATTAGACCCTTGATTTGAATAAGGAAAATCAAATAAACAAAGAACTAAATGGGACAGGGAGGGGAAAACTGACAACAAAAGACGGCTGCTTCTCCCTTCAGTATGGAAAAGAGCATGAAGAAATAGATTGACACATTAACTCAAGGAAGTATGAAGTAAAAACAGTTTCACCTGACGTTTATCTGTTTACGAATACATAGCATGGCAAAGACGAGAACAGTGAAAGTCAATGGGACAAGCTGTCCAACGACACTGAAGAGTGCCTGAAGATGACTGATGATGTGTTTATTGGCTAGTTTAGAGCTGTTGTTCTTACGTAAACTGGTTGTGACGTCCATGATAGTAGTGGCCCGTTTCCTCCTGCTGGGGGCCGGACATTTCAATTCTGCAAACACAGACAAGTTTTTAACTTTAAAAGTTGGAACTAAACTTGATTTGTGCTTTGTATAATTGATGTGAAACTCTTTAAATCAGTGTGAGGTCATATTAATCTGGTTGGAAATGTGGCTGTGAGAAAATTTGATCTACAATTGCACATCCATTTGTTGAAATGTTAAAACACTGTATAAACGCTTTATTATAATAAAGTGCTGAAGGCAATATTCTAAAACTCTTAAATAAGGAAGGGACCATGATCACCTAATGTGGCAGTCACACTAGTTCAAATGGAAATGCCTCAAAGGATTTAAAGCTACCCGTTACCCATTTTAAGATGTGAGTTTGAGGTTTTGAAGAATTTAAAAAACTAGACAGCAAACGAGAAATCTATCTACATGTCAAAATACTGAAAATATAATGCAATTTGGGTTATGATGCCGTTCTTCTACTATCCACTAGACGCTTACTCCTAAAACAAATGTCAGTTTTTGACAGCGTTTCAGAGAGCCGGTCACAGGACGGAGTTGTAACTCGGCGGTAAAACTCAAAACAGGAAACAGGAAACAGCGTCAGCAACTTGCATTGTGGGAAAAACAAGTAGTGTCACCTCGTCTGTAGGGTGTCCCAGAATCCCCAGAAGCCGTGTTGGACTCAAACATCAGCCCGGCATCGTAGAACACACCCATACCGTTCTTCCCTCCACCTGGTGTGCAGCCTGTGTCGTACTTCTCTACAATGTCCCACACCTGAGCAGGTCAGAGGTCAATCACACACTCACACAAATACAAACAAGCAAGACATAGGGTTACAGTATGCAAGTTAAACAAACAAATCTATAAACTCACATGATCTCATATGTACACATGAACTCATGCAATGTATTTTTGCTGCAAGACAAATCTACGGCAGATATTATTTTCAACCAAAAGCTAACAAACGTGAACTTTAACGTGTGCAATTTTCATTTACACGTAGCTTTTTATGTGAAACCCCTTTCAAATATTTTCGGAGAAAAATATGAAATAAAGAATTTGCCTTTTTCTGGGTGAGACGGTGCTTGTTGTTTAGGACGTAGACGCCTTTGTCAACTGCCACCAGTCCCACTGTGGCATCCGGATCTCCTGTGACCTTCAGAACAAACATCTTGCGCGGCTCGTAGGAATTTTTGGCTGATGCCGCTTCAAGCCTCAGCTGAATGTGAAGGGCAGGTCAGTGAATGAGACGTGCAGTTCTGTATTTCTTTGAGCAGTTTCATACATAAAAATATGTCTGAGAAATTTACAAATAACTTTATCAGCTTGTGTGTGGGTGTTTTGTTTGCCCACTTAAACTCTACTACATCAACGTTGCCTGTCTCACCGAGCCCATGCAGGTGTCCTTGACATCCACCCAAACCGAGTCTGATACCACTTCATAGCTGTTTGTATGGTAGTAGGCTATGATGCGGAACGATGGCAGCATTTCTTTGGTAACAGGAACTATCAGGGAAATCAGAATTTGACCTTCTGCCCTGTAGCGGTCGTGGCTCACCAGCTGACCTCTGCTCAAGATCTAGGGACGCAGATTTGAACATCAGCACTTATCAGACATGCATGTATATTTTAGACACGACGTGGGAGGCAACCAAAAGAGTAATATATGTGCACACATGCACTGGTGTAAAACATCTCTCACCAGGTATGTGATGTCAGTGTGATGGCTTTCCTTCCGGTTGAGGTTGAGGTTGATTTTCAGGTTGTCTCCTAATTCCAGCTCCGCTGTATCCACACCTGCAAATGTGACATGTTGTGATAAAACACCCAAAAGATGTAGTGCATAGTGCACACTTTTCCACTGCTATCTCCTTTCCTGTACCATCTGATGTTATGTCAGGATGTCCCTCACCTATGTGGATGTAGTTTTTGCTTGTTGTTGTATATGGGGAAGCTACCATGGAGGCTGATGCTTGTCTTTCAGAGAGAATACCAGGATCATTGGTCTTTGCCTGCAATTAAAGACACACACAGGTAAGCATACACACACAGTTGAATAAAGAATACTTTCCTATCTCAACTCATCGTGGCTGCTAAATAGAATGACAAACAGACATTACACTGACAAGAAGTTCACCATTGACATACTGTACAGTAAATGTGCAGATGAACAATAACATGGAGCTTGATTTCACCTCTTCAAGTGAACGTCAAAAATGTTTGCCAACGAAAGCGGAAATTTAAAAAGGGTCAAATATTTCAGAGACTTACATTTATTTGCAACCTCTGGTTCCCTGCCACTGTATTGATGGTAAGCTTTGCGAGGCCATTGGCTGCGGTCACGCCCCGCACCTCACCTGGATTCACCACCACTCTCACATTTTGTGCCGGACTGCCGTCAGGATTCACAACTTCAACCTGCCATCAGAAACACAAACAGCTGAACAATCAGAAATCGACTAACTGTCTCATTGAAACACATCTTTTTGAGGTCAAACTCAGGTTATTAGATTGTAGTTCTAAGTATCATGACTTAGTTCATGGTGACCCAATGGCTTGATGGACAAATTGCTTGTTTTCTGTTGATCAAAATCTGCCTTACACGACAAAATATTGATCTAATCAATAACAGTTATGAAGAGAGCATGAAGCAGCATGTGACTTGCACATTTACGATATACTGCCACCTGTGTTTTCTGAGAGTGGCTATATTTCAGTACTGTAATGTTGTCTGTAATGTTTTTTACTTAAGTAGAAATATAGCCATTTGATAAAATTAATTTACTCCAAACATGTAACAAATAATAACAAAATAAAACAAGAAGAAACCAATAAAATAACAGTAAACAGATACAGTTAATTATGAATAAATACATATTATATGTTAATGTGAAAAACAATAACGAGTGTCAAAGTCCCGAGAGTGACAAGGCCCCTTCCTCGTCCCTGTACCTTTGACAATTCTCATTTATATCTGTACTTTGCTCAATTTCTTCATCGAATCCATTCAATAAATTCACCCCACTTATTAAAATACACATCCTCTTCCTAGTAGTACGAACACAATGTTTTGTTTCTTAGACTAAATCTTCCTTTTATAATCCCCCCTCTCTGTCGGAGAAAAAAATGTGTATGTTGCCCGAAAGTGCCACGCCATAAGCCATACATATGCTGTCAAGTTATGTAAATGTAAATAAGTACTTTACCGCAACATCGAAGGACATTCCTGGTTTGAAATATTTGGGTGTTTTCTTGAAGTGGATGGTGTAAGGTGATTTGACAATCTGGATGCTTCTCAACTCTGCCTCCACCATTTCACTACCTGTGTGTTGATACAGAAACACAAACACATTCACACAATCGTGATTAACTGATACAAAAATGTTATCTTGATATCTTTATTTTCTATTCTCCTCTCGGTCTTGTTTGGGGGTTTTCAGACTCTAATAATGCTGGTAGTTAGCTTACTTTGATCAAAGACACTGAAAAGGCACATACACACAGTCTCTCCGTCTTACCGCTCTCCGTCAGCACACTGACGGCCACAAATATGGAAGTCCCCACCAGTTCATCCATGGTTGGGAAAGTCTTTGTGATGTGCTCTTTCTTCAGCGTGACCACTCCGATACCTCTCTCGATCTAATATGACACCATTTAAAAATGCATCTTCAAATACAGTGCAGTGGTACAGTCAGTGAACAACCTGGTTTAATTCTGAACATCCTAAATAAATAATATATGAAGGTAGAAATGTAACAATTCAGCTGAAATTACTGCAGACGAATGAATAACAGGACATTATAGACATTTTTTCATGTTTTAGAGTCTTGCAAAACATAAAGAAATACAGCAAAAGTGTAAGAATGTGCTCACCTGCACTCTCTGAAGAGAACTTGGGAAGCTTTTCTTTTGACCGTCTTGCATAACCCCAAATACCACATAGGCGGTCCCATCCACCTCTTTACCAAACAGATACCTAATGCCACAAGACAGGGACGTGTTAAAGCCCACAATGAAGCGAAACAGAAAATCAAGAACAAACAAACAAACAAACAAAAGCCAAAGCCCCAAACACAACCTCTGGACAACACCCTTTATTTGTTCTCCTGCAATAAATCTACCAATCAAACCTGATCTCTCAAACCACAAAACAAAAACCTTCACATACACAGCTTTGATGTTGACGGTGAGCTCTTCACTGTCCATGTAGAAGAAGGAACTCTTAGGTGTCAGTTTAACTTCAAAACTGGGTAGCACTGCAAAATGGAAAACATGTTATTGTGTGTCCAATCAGGTAAAAAAAAGAGTGAATGTTGTAGGTTTATAAAGGTTTTAAATAGAAGTGCAGGCAATGAAGGAGTCACCGTATTCTTTGACCTCGAACTCTGCAGAATAGCTCTGCTGAGGGTTGCTGTTGAACTTTGTCACCACTTTCCACAGTCCTGGACTACACACACACACACACACACATACAAAATTAAAATCATCATTCAGAGACTGAAAGTAACAACAGACTTCGGATTGCGTGAAGTTATTTATATCCTACACAAATTGAGATGTAGGCCTACGCAACAGAGCTGCTGCACAGAACTTGGCATTTATATTACTGCCCTACAACACTGATGTTTACAAGAAAAGGTTTTATGTTTTCAGGTTGACTTTGCATAAGATAGAAAGGGTGCACTTGTATTTTATGCCTTTGTACGGTGATAAGTTTTATTTTATAGGGATTAAATGTATTTCCGTCCATTAACAATTAATATTTAGATCTTAAAAGACAAATCGATCTCCAGTTTAAAGGAATAGTTTAAGCTTTTGTTGGAGAGTTAAATAAGATTATCCCCACTTTTTGTCTTACAATGCTGACAATCTTCTCATCTAAGTGACCATCTGCCAAAAAGCACATGAGCTCTTTCCCAAAATGTCAAACTCTTGATATTAAAATACAGGCTACTTTGCATAATCCTAAATGTTTTGACTTTTTGAGATGAAGTTACCTGCCATCCATGTGTATCCAAAGTGTAAATACACCACTTAACAAGAAAATGTATAAAATACAATAAGGAAAATGTAATTTAAATCAGATAAACTACTAACCTGACAATTTCAGCAAGTTGGAAATCTCCAGAGTGGATCCCTGATTTCAAAGCGACTGAATCAAGTGGTAAAATGATGCCTTCAGGGGTCTAAACATGAACAATTTTCAATAACCATTAACAGAGAGCCGTGGTAAGCTACAAGTTAATTCGGTAAAACCACATTTAAAGCATGTCTTTTGTCTACAATCCGCCATCCTCGTCAACGTATAGACTGTATGCTAGTGACACTGTTTCAGAGGAAGGAAAAGGCTGTCTTTTGAGCAAATCTACCACTAGAGGGAGACATGCATTTATTTTTACTCCCAGTTACAGCTTATTATATGATATCACTTTCAATTCTTATTCGTTCATAGATAAATCACAATACCACAAACTCGATGGAAATAGAAGTATCAGTTTGGGTTGCATCGTCCCTCTCTACTGGCTCCATACGAGGCGTCACTGCAAACATCCTGTAGTGAACTGACAGAGAGAGAGAAAGAGGTTAATGTTGCTGCTGAGGGTTGAAGGACGGTGATTCTATTTTGGGTCATGTGACTGTTTAAAAACGTTTTGAAAAGAAGGGCTCTTTAAACTTCACAGTAATTTACAGTAAAAGCACTTAAAGACATTCTCACAGAAGTAGGTGTGTTTTTCAGTGCTGATGCAGATTTGAACTCACCTTTGCTGTTGGGGGTGTAGAGGGTCTTATCAGTCTGTATGAAGATGTACCCGGACTGAAAGGACACTAAGACCACTTTCTCCAGCACTCGGTCAGGAAACTCAGCTTGCAGGTACACATACTGCTTCATGGTGGCATCCTTACTGAAGTCTCCAGCAGGGATCTGAAACCAGTATGAAGAAACACCAGTAGTGCATCAGCAGCAGGGTAGGGAGGTCCAAATCAATTCTCGAATCATTGATAGATTATTTGTGGCCAGTAACAGTTGCAGATAATTACATACACAGTGACGGTATTTAATTTACCGTTATTTCTCCAAGCTGCTGGAAGTCATTTGCAGCGTTAAGTGTCACAGATGCGGTTGCCAGCTTTTGGCTTTTGGTTGGATGGTTCATCACGTTGATTTGGACATTCATGGCTGCTCCAGTGTAGTCTTGACACTCCACAAAGACTTTTTCTGCTGTACCTACACGCAACAAGTTGGGGGCAGACATCACGTTCCTGCAGAGCAGCGGGGGGAGAGGAAGATATGGAGTAATAATAATATTCTGTAGTCAGTGTGTAGAAAACCTCTTAATATTATGCATTTCAGGCACCATAAAACACACACACAACTAGAAAAGTGCATTCAGTAGAGATCTCCGCCTGGTCTGTCTCCCTCTCCCCTCCCAAACAAAGAAGAGTTGAATCTCGCTCAGTTGTCCTTCTAGGCTCCATCAGAGTCACGATGGTGTCAAAGATTTAAAAAAAAAAAAAAAAAAAAGGGGGACTTGTTCATCTTGTATAGTGCCTAACTTTATTTATGGAATTAATCTGCAGATGCTCCAGTTCAAAATTAGATAAACATCAGTTTTCAAACCACGACAAAAGGCAAAATGTGACCTGCAAAAGTGAGGGCTGTTTTTGGCCTATAGCTGATTTGTGGAAAATGCTGTTTGAATACTGTCTGAAACAGTCATTGATCACTTGCAGCCCCTTGCGGCCGGTTAAGTGAGGTGTCAGCCGTCAATGACGGTATAAAACAGTCAATGACATTTCTTTTCAAAAATTGTGAATCACGGTAACTATGAGAGGTCCTAAAACATAGAGTCATAAATGAGCACAAAACATAGGCTGATGGGTCCAGTGTGTGCGAGATTTGGTGGACGGACAAACGGATACAATCACGCATGCACACAGGACCGAACGCATGATCTCCTATACGCTTAAGTCTGGTGGAGATAATTATGGAAGGTTGTGACCATTACAGGTTTGCTTATTTGCTTTTTTTTGTGAGATTTTTGTGTGCTTGATGCAGGAAACCTTTTCAGTATTCCACAAGAAAAAAAGTCAGAAACAATAAACATGGTTTTGTGTAACAGAAATGTTTTTCATCTTCTGACTTCTCAGATTTATCTTGGTTCCGAAGCCTCAGGTTGAGAACCACGGTCTTAGAGGCTGTGAGTTGAAGTTTCATTTCACCCGAATCACAGAGATAAACAAACCTATTTGCCCAGATGAGGATCATGACTGCATGGACTTCACCCACAATGAGTAATCTATTGATTACTTTGATGAAGATCCAGCTCTGGACCAACAGAACATTTCATCATGGCTCTAGACTCTTGCCCTGTCTGGCTTTAGGCATCGTTGTGCAAACTCTGAATCAAATTCAGGGCCAACTAACTGGCCTCATTTGAAAGTCCACACTACCTTGTGACACAAATGGCAAACTGGACGATAGCTTCTCATTATTTAAGACACAAGTCAAACCAATATTTATACACTTTTTTAATTAAATTGAAATGCAGATATCGTTGTTGCTCCCATTACAGTTCAACCAATAATAATGTGAATATCAGGAAGACGAACACACGAACAAACTGCATATTTCAGTTCTGTTTTTGGTGAAATTCAAGCCCAGGGGCAGTGTGTAAAGGAAAGGCAGGTCTACTTACAATGGAACTCCATCAGCCAGAGAAGTCAGGGAGGCCAAGGCCACAGAGGCCACCAGCCACAGCAGAGTCCTACTCATCCTCCTGACTGATCCTGATCTGCTGTCAATGGAGACTGTCACTGTACTGCACCCTCCTTTTATTCTCCCCCCACCCTCCTCCTGCACCTCCTCTTCACCTTGCCAAGTGTTTCTGCAACCGTACACAAGCACACATCATCAATAACATTATTTCCCAGCAGCAGTTGAGAAACTGTTTAAACTTTGCTTTGAAGAAAAAGATAAAACAGTAGAAAATCAATGAGGGTTTATGTGTTTGACTAACTTCTCGGTATTCAGTTTCACTTTTTTCGTTTTTTCGTTTTGACATTTTGAGTTCCTTCTAAATCTTGTTCTGGACCTGATAAATCAGCATATTACAAAAAAACCAAACATATTGAACATGCACACAGACAACTACTCAGGTGAGAGTCATGTTGAGTAACTTCTGGGGGAAGTATCTGGCAGGGGTTTTGGAGTTTCAACAGCAGGGACTTTTCTCTATGACAAAATAATGATCAAAATAAAATAAGTTAATAAATACGTTGAAGTTATTGAAGTTGATTTTTTGATTGACACAGGCTCAATGATGTGAATGGATGTTGCAAATGTATACAAACTTTTTGAATATTCACAGTTAAAAGATGGATCCCATTGTTTGATGATCATACGGAAATATTTTTCAGATATATTTTTTTATTTCTTGGGCCGGATGCTAACGAAGGAGGAAAATTTACATTGTATTGAATCCTTCCTCCAGGCAAAATATGTGAACATTTTTCAGAAAATGTACTACCGTAGTCAGACAATTACACATTATATAACCCCCCACAAAACTACATTGTGACGTTTCTGCTTTTGTTTTTATTGACTGATTAAACGAACAAAATATAACATGTTATAGTGAGCTTCAGAGGTGCTGAAAGATTAGTTACTAGCCATACTCTTTTTACAAGTATTTTTAAGATTGTGGGCCTAATGTTTACTGTTGTGTAACACTATGGCAGCATTTTGAATCACATTCATTGCATAATACACATTTTATGGACTAAAATTCAGGCTTTACACTTTGTTGTTGCACTTTCAAAGGTTATTTCTCATTTTCGATTGAAGGTTTGATCTCAGATCTCTTACCATTTAAAGCTCATTTAACAGTAAAGTAAATTCTAATATTCCACACCTGCTACAAAAGGACATACTAGTAAAAACTCATGTATAAAAATGGACTTTATCTCTTTGCTTGATTTTTATCTGATGACTTATTCTTATTTTCTTTTAACTTCTGCCACACCGTGTCTTTGTTCTGCACGTCAGGAGGAATACTATTTGGACATGAACAAAGTTTGTTTGAATAGTGATAATGAAAGTAGGCGACTCCAGAAAGCAGATTGTCCTCAGCTGACAAACAACAGCCTCCTATACTCGCACAAGGCCCTTTCTCTCTAATTATTGAACCGTACTGATATCAAGAGTGATTGATGACACAGCAAGCACAGTCAATCCAGGTAGGCCAGCTCTCTGTAGCCGGCTGAAACATGTGGTTTGTGATTTAAAAAAATGGAAATCCAAAGTTAGACAGGAACAAATTAAATTTTATGAAAAAAAAAACAGAGAGAGAGAGAGAGAGAGAGAGAGAGAGAGGTCTGTTTGTGATTGGCGCAGATGGGACACGTGACCGGGCTCATTTACACCTGGACAGGTAGGTGAGCGTGGGAGGAAATAGTTTCAGCTATGCCGCGAACACACCGACCCCTGACTGGATTAAGAGTTGTGTCGGTTCGCCAGAGCATCTTGCTTTGAACAGAGTGTCACGTCAGGGCACGTCGTCGGTCATCTCACCTGGACGCTCAACAACAGACAGGTAAGCCGCGCGGAACTAATCAAACACAGACTATCCTTTCAAGAGAAGATAACACGTAGCCTACGGGTCGAGCTTGAACCGAAACATTCTCCATGAGCCATGGAGCTTGAAGGAGCTCCTTCGTGCGTTTACCTATCGGCAGGTTCACCTGTGACGTCACAGCAGCAGCAGGCTCACCTGAGCTGAGACGGCACCGGTTGAACAGGTGAAGCAGGACCTACTGCATTCCGCCGCGTGCACGCATGCATCCGTCTGTGGCACTTTTTCTTTAAGCGTTTATCGGCTGGGATTAAGGAGGAAATTGGCCTTCTCTGTGGTTGATTGAAGCAAGCACCATTTATTTAACACGTGAGAAAACAACCTGTGTGTGTAACGCTGACGTGGAAGAAGATTTACGTTGAGTTTAGTGAAGGCCTAGTTTCTTTCCCTTTCTTCTTCTGTTATATTGACGAGTCACCTCTGTGGTTCTTACCAGGATTTATTCTGTGGTGTTGGTCAACATGTGGCATGTTAAGTTATACACTCATCCCAGTCACACATGTTGCCATATGTGAAGGATAGCAATGCAGGCACAGTAAAGGTGTAATTTATTTGAGTTATTCTGTACATTCTGTTCAGCATTTATTTTCCATTATCTACTAATTAATTATTTGTTCTATCAAAGTCCATCGCTGAAGACTGTAATATAATCTCATAAACAACCCTGCTGTGAATGCTACCTGTGTAAACAGAAACGTTGTGTGTCTTAGAGGAGTGTTGTTTGTCCTTTGTGGTCATTTTCGAGTTCATTCTTTCAGGAGTTGTTATATTGGACTAAGTTATTTTGAAACGTATGTCTAATGTTTTACATCCACGGGGCAACAAAAATAATGTGCTGTTTTTTCCTAAGAATTGTAGAGCAGCTAGTCTTCAACATATCGGCAACGTGCTGCAGTTCTCATCTTGACTAAGTTGTGGCAGTGACATAATTGCTCCTCCTGAACGTTTGAGCTGTCCTTCAGTCAGTGTTTAGAATTGATCAGATCTCTTTCTCCTGCTATTAAAAGCTCTCAGCGGACGGGAGAAGCATGTTTCCTTTGCAGTTAAGTTGCTTTCAAGTCCCTCCGGTTGTGAGGTTTTTAGTCACTCATTAACTGTCTGCATCAGACACAAAGACACTGTGCATACCTGAGCTGATGATCTCTTACCCCCCCCCTTTCTTAAACACATACATGTTAACGGTAACTGCTGTTTCTCTCACAGTTGGATTTGACATAGATCTTTCTTAGTTTATGCTCTTTAACCTTCATGATCTTCATTTTACCTCTTGGACAGTGATGAGACCCGTTTCACTGACTCTTGATTTGTCTGTTTTCTTTGTTTTTTTTTTTGTCAGATGCCCCGCTGTCGTTTCGGTCTATCTGATGCTGTGATGGTCCAGCTGTAAGAACACAGGCCTCACAGACCTACAATACTCTCTATTCCTCAGGGAGGTGAGCTCAGACTAAACCCTGTCGCATCATCTCATCCCTGTGTATGTGTTTGCTATTAGGGTTAAGGTTAGGAGACCTACTTACTGTTATTTCCTTGGATGTTTCGTGGAAAGAAGTATTGTATTTTGGTACCTATTATAGGGAAAATGTAAAAAGCTCTGTTTAAAGAATATATTAAAACTACACATGTTTGCATATTCAGTTGACCTGCTATGCTTTGACTCAAAGACTGTAGGGTGCTTTTCATTTGAAGTGCACTCTCTCATGTTTCTCCCCAATTTTAGTACCAAATCACAGTTCTCACTGGGAGACGTATCACTACATAGACTTTAATTGACATGCTGCATGTAATCAATCAATAGTTTAATCTGGAGTTGTACATTTACTGACTCTTCTGCCTGACCTGTGTGCCACTCCCTCCCCAGTCGCATGTCAACCATGGCGACGCAGGTGTTAATCCCACCGACAGTGTTTGTGTCCACCGTGCTGTCGCTGCTCAGCTTGGTGCTGCTGCTGCTGCTGTGTGTCATAAGGAAGAAAAGAAGGACGGAGGGAACATACAGGCCCAGTGCAGAGGAGAGCAAACAGGTGGGATCGGCGGGATCTGAAAAGCCTGGCCTGCCTCTCCCGTTGCCCAAAGAAGAACGCCTCATATGATGAACGCACTGAAGTGGACCCACCAGCCCGTCGCTGTGTGAACCTGCGGATGGATACCTCCCGTTTCTCTGACGTTGCCGGGATTATCTGTTTGTCTTGTGCACCAGAAACTCTATAGATGCACTCAACACTGTTTGCCCCGCACCTTTTAAATTTTGGTGCCAACAAATGCACTGATTAGTCAATTCTATCACTGCAAGAAAAGAGGAAATATGTAATTTGAGTGTTTATGGTATTCGTTTATTAAAATAACTCCTTTTATTCTGCCACATAAGGAACATGAGCTTAAGTATATTTTGTATTTGTACAGAGGTTACTATATTTTTACTCTACTGTGTGTTTATTTATATATAAAACAAATTGTTTTACACGATTTCCAGTACTGAAGGATATTGATTAAAACACTGACTGTAATGCACTTTTATGTCACGCTCTGAGAAGTTCAATTTCTAAAATAAATAAAGATCAGTATGTGTTGTACACAAGGTGTTTTGTTAATAAATCAGGAATGTGCACGCCCCTTTCTCTCCCTCGTCCTGGATCATTGGAGTCATTGAACGGATGTTGGATGTTCAAAATGTTTACTTTATTGGGTTTTAAGTTATTCAGATTCTGTGTGACGGCTTACCAAAAAAATGCAATACATTTGTCAGTTTTACCTGATGGAGCATTTCTCTCTCACACATACACTAGCAGACAAATATTCAGGTGTCAGTGATGAATGGGCCATCATACAGTAGACAATATGCAAAACATTAGTTGTCCTCACTGTTGGAGAACTTATTTAATTCAACCATGCTGCCGAATTGCCCTAATAAGTGCAATTCACAAGTTATTCCATCAAGTATACAATATTCAGACAAACAAATCAGTTCAAATACTTGCTAAATATTGGCAATGTGCCATATGTCATGAAAACACATCAGTGAGCCACACTGTTAAATGCTTCATTAAAATGAACACACTGGTTTATTTTGACTCCACTGCTGTAAATACTCACCAGTGCACCAAATCTGTGGCTGATAGTCCCTAACAAACGCACCTTTCACTCCGGTGTGTGTAACATTTGCTTGACGCTGCAGTGCCCAGCTGTTTCAGGAAATGACTGTATATTTGTGACCCACTTTACAATATGTAAGGGACAGACAGGACAAGAAAAACTAAAATGTCGCCAGCCTCATCCTCTAAGCTTCAAATCGCTTCTTCAGTTCAGACACTTTGATGAGAGGCGGGTCTTCACATTCATGCCCCTCTGAGCGTTTTTTCTCCTCCGATATATTTGAGTCACATGGCGGCTGCGTTTGTGCTTTCTCCCTGCTCCAAAGCATGTTGCCAAGTCTCCCAGGTTCAGCCAGCTCCTTGGTCCCGGACTTCACCTGAAAGCCCCGGCTGTCCTGAGACTGGAAGCGTGCTACAGGAGGGGGCACTTTAGGAGGACAGGGGGTCTGTCTCTGTCTCATCTCCTGCTCCTCTTTCTTTACCTCTTCTTCACTCCTTTTGTCCTGAGCTGCTGGAGGTTCAGGGTCAACGATGAGACTCCGAGGTCCAGGAGAAGCTGTGGGTTTCAGATTGTCCTCCTCAGGGTTGGGGTGATGGGGATTCAGTTTTATAAGTTTGTTTAAAGTCACCTCTTTAATCTTCTCCTCCTGCTCATCTTTCCCCTCTTCTTCTCTTGCTTCATTTATCTGCATTTCACTTGTTCCTTTTTCTATCTCTCGCCCCTCAGCTACCTCATTCTGATTTTGCTCGTACTCCCTATTTTCTCTCAACTGTTCATCCTTTAGCTTATCAGCCATTTCTTTTAAAGTGTCCTCTCCTAAACTCACTCTCTTTTCTTGACCCGCTTTCTTCGTCTCTTCCTCTAACCTCACTTCCCCAAAGTTATTTCTGTCATCTATTTCTTCTTCTTGGTTCCTGTTTATTGCTACCTTCACTTCTTCCTGTTCCTCTCGGACCTCCCTCCCTCTGATTTCTTGCTCTCTCACTTCACACACTGCCAGCCGACTGTCTGTCCCCTCCTCCTCTGGTAGGCTGGTGTCCAGGCACAGCCAATCAGAGTCTTCCGTCAGGTCTGACAACTCCTCTGTGGTTTCCAGATTCCAGCTGTGGAGGCTGCCACTGCCGCTGATGGACAGAGACAGGCTCTCCTGGCTTGGGTTGGCTGTAAAACGGTCCTGGGAAACAACAGCCAATGTAAGACCAGAAATGACCTTCATGTGTGTGTGTGTGTGTGTGTGTGTGCGTGTGTGTGTGTGTAAGAGAGCTCCTCATCTCCTTACCTTTGTGATATAGTCATGGCTGTCCGGTCCAAACAGATCCAGGCTGCGTGTCCCATACAGCAGGCCTCGTTCGTGGGAGCTCCGGGAGCTGAGCGTGTCAAAGATCTCCCCCAGCAGATCCATCTCCTCCGGGTCACACAGCAATGAATCTTCACCCTCTTCTTCATCCTTCTGGAGCTCAGAGTCAGGATCAACCGCAGGCTCAGACACAGCTCTGAAACACAGGGATAAGAAACGGGAATGGCGCAAGGTAGAAAATACTCGCTGCTTATTCTTATGTTTTTCCAGGGGTATTCCACATTTCTCCATCTCTCAGCTCGTCTCTGACTCTCACCCAGCCCATGCGTCTCCAGTGTCCTGCATGTCTTCCTCGTCTCCGGGAGCCCTCAGTTTGGAAACAGGCCGACGGGGACGAGACTGACATGAGGCGAAACAGCATAACACAGCAAAGGGATGGAAATGGAGCAATGAAAGAAGGAGATTAGTGATGAGGAAGACATGTGTGGATGGTATCTGTTGCAGTGTTATAGAATATTAATAAAATAGATATGGGATTGTTTTGCAACAGATCTCACCCTCCCAAAGTGTTGTGTGATTGGCAGGCGGTTCTGCAAGCAGTCAGATTGGGCACGGCGGTGCGACACAGAGCCTCCTCTCTGAAGGGCGTGTTCTTCACTGTGGGCCTGAATCACACACACACGCACACACACACACACACACACACACACATACATGGATTATTATAGTAAAACCACAAAATAACTAGATTCATTTGTACCATCATGAACGCTGACCCACCTTGTGCATCAGCAGGTTTTTCAAACCAGACTTGGTGAGACCTTTGGCCTGGGAGAGATTCAAGTCATCATGAATAGAGTTGTTTTGGTGATGCAGACCGACCTGAAAAAACACCGTGGCTTGTACTCACCCTCATGTTTGCTTTGGACTTCATGTTAAGGATCAGCGCTCCTCCCCCTTTCTGTCAAAAGCACAACTGCATTTGTGTTGCACTTTTCACCAGGACGGGAACCAACTTCAAACGGTTTCATTAAAGATGAAAAGAGCTTACCTTTAAATTACCAACTAACTGTTGATAGGATTTGCTTCTTCCTTTAAACAGACAGAAACACAAGAGGATAGGTGATAAGTGAGTAATGTGAAATCACACTCACACTCACACTCACACATATGCACACACGCACACACACACACCTGCAGCTGTTTCACACTTAAAGATCTCCTCCTCAAAGAGATCATCTGGTTCCTTCTCTTTGTTCAGAATATCCAGGCGGCCATCGATGAACTTCAAAACAAAACTAATGTTTGATCATTTCTTAAATATTATCTGATTAAAATACATCATCTTTAACATGAGTACGACTTAGTCCAACTGACCTCACAACTAATTTATCAGTAATTCTATGCATCTGCATCAAAGGATGTCAGAGACATTTGTTGACATTTCACTTTACTGTAACGCTTTGCTCAACAGGCCCCTCTCCGGTGTTATAATTGCAGTATCTGTCCAGCAGAGGGCAGTAAATAACACCGAGCACAGCGCGTACCTGTTTGAAGGACTGTAAATGAATGGCACTCTGTAGGAACTGCCTCATGCTGGCAGACTTGTGATCTAGAAACAGCTCCTCGCTGAACCACATCTCACCCTCCTGCAAGGAGAGATATGGAGATAGGTACAACAAAAGAGAAGAATGAGTCCCAAAAATACACATAGGAATGAAGAGGTGTCTTTAGAAATGACCAAATAGAAATTACAAACTATGAATCATTTACCCTACGGTTTTAATTTTTATTATAAGAAATAATAAGCCTTTTGAGTGATTGACCTTTTGACCCTGCAGCGCGTCCCTGTAGCCTCCAAACAGCAGAGCCTGAGCTTTCAGGAAGGCCCTCGAGACGCCACAGCCGGGAGACACGGCCTGACGCTTCAAACACGCCTTCAGCCCGGACATCTGGAGACATGGGTACATTTATATCTGTGATATGAATCAAGAGCAACTGCTACTCCAGCTCAGCGACAATGATCAAGACAACATGATTCGAGTAAGAAAACATGACGTTGAAATGCAAAATGTGCTACAGGTGATAAACATTTTGTCATTTAGCCTTGGTTAGATCGGTGACGGTATAGAGGGACAGAAAACATGTGAAGAGGAGGAGAAAAGGCCCCTGACTGTGTTCATATCACGTGTTTTTAAGTCTGTTATGAGTCAAATGTTTTTTAATCTTCACGGTTCTACAGACGTGGTGTAAACACAAACAGGAGTACATTACATCGGTAATCATTTCTATTACAATAGGCGATTTATTACCACATCTGAAGGTATCCTTTTCAGGTCGTCAAAGGGGGTTTCCAGAGTGTTTGTGTCCACATTCAAAATGACGACTTCCTCCAGCCCACGACTCCTCACCCTCTGTGAGACAGACACAGAGACACACCGTGATGTGTTGGTCCGTCAGTTTGTGGGGACAAACCTGGTAGATTAACCGGTTTTATATTGCTTGAGTAACTGTAGACGGTTCTATTCAGTATAGTTTACCTCAGATAGACTGGTGTGGACCCCTATTAGGTAAGGCATAGGTGCACTGTAACCAAATAAAAAAGGGTGAATCTATTGCAGACCGACAGACAGAATAGACAGACAGACAGATACAAACAGACAGACAGACTTCTTACCAGCAGTAATCCAGTAGGTGAGGTGGCAGCACAGGGATGAAGATGTGTTGCCAGTACATGGGGTATAACACAGCACTGAGTGCATGCACGCAAGACGTCAGCTACACACAACACAAAAAACGGACGACTGTTTCAGACAACACACAGGACACTCAAGTCTGTCTGTGTGGTCGGCCATAGGCCACATATGGTGCCCAATTTGTGACTTCAAGGTAGAATAATGGAGATCATTTTAGCTGCACTGAGTTTGGTTTCCAAGTAGTTGCATTCAGCTAAATACGGTTGCAGGTTAAGGTGAGTTTCTAGAGAGTGAACATGCATCTTAGACAAAAACGTAAATAAAGTCCTGTAAAAATAGAAGAACACAAATGTGTGTCTTACGGTGCTGAGTTTGCTGGCAAAGATGAGGATGCGTCTCTCAAACAGCATGCTGGCATAGACCTGGAGCAGGTTGCCCACATCTACCGCCACAATCAGCTCTGTCAAGTTCCTCTGGTGAATCCACAGACACACACATATCGGTTTGAATGGGCAAAGTGGACAAAACTCCACCCGCTCTATAGGATATACACCCAGGGTGTAGTTTAGTCCTCCATACTCACATTTTCAGGGATGGAAGGGAGACTTCTGGGGTCTGGAGCAATGAAGTATGGAACCTGGTCAAAACAAAGAAAGAAACAATACATGAATAAGAGAACGGGGGGAATTTAATGGACGTGCTTTTTTGCTTTCAGTTGGCTTCAACATCATACTACACTCATGTATGCATTACAGGTTACAGGATCAGACTTACGGTTTCATTCCAAAATTCTCTATCCATTAAATAATGCTTTTGTTAGATGCAAACTATCGTGTCAGCTAATGTCTTACTGTAACACAACCATTACGTTATAATCCTTAAGATTTACATGACATCCAAACACATGTTTGATGGTATTAACTGTGGGTATTTGTTCTGCAATAGCCATTCAATGCATTTATAATCAGTAATGACCTCTCTCTTTAGAAGTTTTCATTGTTAGTGGTGGAGTCCGCCATTCCCGCACCAGATTTAAAAACCTTCACTCTCTTTACACTTCATCAGAGCTGTATGAACTTACTGATAATAAAAATACAAAGAATTCCCAGAATTAAATCAGACTTGCTGTTACTAAAACAACCAGCACTGAAACTATATCGAAAACGACTTTAATCAATATTATCTGTTCTCACACCGTAGAAATGTGGTGTGAGAAACACACGGAGGATTTATTACTTTGGAATGAAACTCTTGAAATGTAAAAATCCACAAGATACGACCAGCTGCAGCTTTGATTTCATTTGATTTGAACACGGGTTATTTGTTATGGATACATACACTCAACAGTCACAATGAATGGCAGACGTTAGTGCAAATCGTGTTACGTTTGATTGAAACATTTGATTAGAGGGGTGGGTGACAAGGTTTTAGTCCGCACACATCCGGTTTAGCCATCAAGCACAGACAGCTAACGTTTTCCAGCAGGAGTTAGTCTGTATCCGCTCAGCAGTTATTCCAGACCACATGAACCCCTGTGGGACTCACCCCCTCTTGTCCCTTTGGGTGTCCAACAGGATGGGACACCTCTGTGCTGACCAATAGCTGCTCTCCCTCAGAAAAAAACACAACAGGCTAACCACTGACAGAAAACAGCCGTAAAGTGAAGTGTGACACCTGCTTCTCACTGGATAATTAGAGATTTACCATCTGCAGAGTGACAGATCCAGCTGGTGGTGGTAAGGGCTGCTTGTAGAGGGCAGCCAGCAGCGCTTTGGTCTCATTGGTCTGTTGAGGACATGACGGTCGTTAGGTTAATAATACTCAAACACAGAGGAGAAGACAGAGTACACACACTGGAACCTCACCTGTCCTTTTGTGAGGTAATCGGCCAAGTTGTTGAGAAGTTTGTAAAACACTTCAAACCATGGAAGATAACTGTAATCAAATTGATTAAAAAGGGTTTTCATCGTGATGTTAAAGGCATGAGAGTTACTCTTTCAATACCCCCCCCCCCCTCACACAAATACCTGAGTATGCAAAGGCAGGTGTTTGTGTTGTTGGTGAGCCGGCAAAAGCCAAACCGCTGGCATCCCTCAAGGTCGGTCAAAACAAAAGTAAAGTGCTGCACGGCCACTCCCTCCCTCGCTCTGTGCAGATGAATGACGTGAGAGGTGGACATGTATAAAAAATACAGACCAGAAATGTAAACTGGAGTTTATACTCACCTCTGTATGTCATACGGGAAGCAGAACCTGGGTAATGTTTGAAAAGATTCCTGGAATGAGATGAAATTGTGTCAAATGAAATGTGAAAAATCTGATAACAAGTCTAAAAGTCTACAGCAACGCTGATGGCTCTGTGGGCCTGTGCTTATAGGCACAACACTGACAACATGTTCACGATGACAATGTTAATGTTCAGCAGGTATAATCGTATCTAATTAGCATTAACCACAATACACATTTGAGGGAAGGTCAGTTGTTTTGCAGGTATTTGGTCCAGGTCCAAGCTCCAAGGTAAAAAAATGATATTTGAAGCAAATATTCGTAGAAAAACTTGAAATTACAACTGCCAGGTCTGTCAGGTGATACAATTGGACCCAAAAAGACTCAACACTAAGATTTAAATTGGGGAAGAGACGTAACTCAGCCGATAATTGTTTCAGGTGAATCAACTTCCCAGTATGAACCATTAAATAGAGCTTATTTTAGTCACAAAGTTAATAGTTAGGATAATCCCATTTTGGCAACTGAGCGACTTGTATTGGAATTCAATTTGAGCCTTCAACGCCATTTTCAATTCTCTTTATACACCAATGATTTGGTCATAAACCAAAGCGTTGGACAAATCAAAATTATATAATTATAAATATGTTGCCACTGTATGAAATATCAGAAGATCACTAAAGTTATTACAATTCATCATGAATGGGATGCGTCTGTACCAAATTCCATTGCAATTCGTCCAATAGTTCACACTTCACTCACAGCTGCAAATGTTTGACATTACGTGCAACGTCCTGGACATAATCACTGTATTAATCTTATATTATCATTGTAATCTATATTGGATTTAGTGAATTTTGGATATACGTGTTGATATTTAAATACTTGCACCATTATTAACATGTTTGAACTCTTGATATTTGTACTCTTTCCAACTTTCTACAACTGATGCAAAACAATTACCCTCAGGAGAAATAACGTTCCAGCTCATCGTATCTTGTCTTAATAGCTGCTGTGATATTTTAGTCTGAACCAAAGTGGAGGCCTGACCGACCCACAGACCAGCCAACATTGCAATCCCAATAGCCACACCGCTATCCAAAAAGAAGCCACAGCAATCAATTTAGCTTGACAATACATGCACAAATATTAAAGCTTTCCAGAAGCAGGGGACACGAGCGGCTACCTCATCACTGAAGTCCTCTGGATACTGAAACAGTACACCAGGATCTATAACAATGAAAAGAATGAATCAAAGGACATCGTGGCCAATACTCCAAACACACTATATGTACAAAGTGGGTTCTACACGGCAACAATGAGTGAAATAGAAGGAAGACAAATCATTGAAAATGGGGAAACTAAATAAATGTTCAATTCAATAAAAAAGGTATTTAGTACTGTTAACCCCTTCAGCTCACATGCAGCTGCTCAGTCCATCAGATTACCACAACACGGTACGATCTGGTTCTAGTGTGACAAGACACGCTATGTGGTTTTTCTGATCACATGACAGGAAGTATGAGCAACTCAGCTCAGCAGAAACACCTTCATATACAGAAAGTCTGATCAACGTATTGTTTCATAACACAAATTAATTTGTGTTGCTTTTTAAGTTTGAAACAAATTTCAGATGTTAGTTGGCACTCAGGTGTAGTTTATCAGAACTCGGAAAATGACAAGAAGAAGGTGAATAAAGTCACGGGAAGAATTTGAGGAACAAATATTTATCAACTTCTCTGTTGCTGACAAATTACTCTGCACATGTAAACAGTTCCATAACAGACAACACAAGTTATAGTACTCCATAGAGGCTGAAACACAAGCTGGGAATCACAGAAATTGGCAATACTACATTGTCCCACTCACCTTTGTCTCTGGCTACGGGGCAAGTTGCTTCAAAGAACCAGTAGAAGGTTTGCTCGGGGTTTTGTCTGACAGGAAAGAGACGGAGCGCTCATGTGAGGTTCTACCTCCACAGAAAACGGACCAAAACATGCTCACATCAATGCTGAGACACTCCAGTGAATCTGCCCAACATTTATCATATTACTCAAATCATCATTTCACAAAACCGAGGAGATTTCACTCTCAGGATGTTATGAAACAACAGGTGTGCTGATGAAGACAAAGGTAGACAGTGGTCCATCTATTAGAGACAGGTGTACCTACAGAAAGAGAGTTACATGCAGTGATGGAATGACATTTTATTTATTGATGCTACTTCTACTCCACTACCTCCCAGAGGTAAATGTTGCTTCAATAATTATTATATAATTTTAGATTATACTTTATGTATATTATTCTGAAATGGGCCATTCTGCATAACGAGTACTTTTGGTACTTTAAGTATACATTGATGCTAATAGCTTTTATTTGTAAATAAGTATTTCTACACTGTATTGCTACTTTTACTTGAACAAAATATCTGAGTATTTCTTCCACCACTGGTTAAGTGTGATTACATTAAAATATTCAGAACGTATTCATACGCAACAAACAAAGGTGAACATTTCCAGGCCTACCATGAAGTGTATGGCAACTCACACAAAGGGCAACAGAGTTGCTGCAGGAAACTTCCTGTGCAGTTGTGAGAGGAAGTAATAAAAACCACAAGAACAGACTGACGGGCAGAGTGATGATGGGAGTCGAGCATATAAATGAACAGATTAACTCACTTCAGTCTGGAGCCCATGCTGTCTGGGTGTGTGTGTGTCCATGTGTTGGTCCAGGAGGGCAGAGATCTTCAGCAGGTGCATCAGATGATAGTCGTACCTCCTTCCTGATGCAGCTGCTGTGTGAACGGAGGCAGACAGCAGCGGTAGCAGGAGTCTGCAGAATCAGCGCAATCGGAGTGATGGAACACTTCCTGATCTATGTCAGTATATGTGTGGTGTGTGTGTGTGTGTGTGTGTGTGTGCACATATGACGTCTGATATAAGACCTCCTCTCCAAGCTCAGAACTTATTTTCACTTTTCTTACATTTTCATAATTTTCCCTCAGTTTCCTTTAAATTACTTAGATCTTCTCATCCGATTTTTTTTAATGAGCAGCCATCAGGTCAAAAGGGAACCATTAAGTACAAAAACACAAATCAAGTTAAAGAAATCACATTTTCATTCATCTATAGAAATAACTACTACTGCCTATTCAAGCATGACAGACAGAGGAACGGCCATTAACATTCACAGCCATGAGACGAATGGTCTCCACAACAGCAAATACTTAAAGTATTTTAACAAGAACACTCAGCAGATCTTGATTTATCGCTTTAAGTAAGATATACTTGATATGTCATATAGTCTCCATGAAAAGCTGATTCATTGAGTTGCTTACACTTGATCAAACAAAAAGGCTTCAAAATCCTGTTTTATTTTCCTCATAAGAATTTCTGATGAGTCATAAAGCATTTGGTGTTTCAAGTTTCATCGTCCTAAGAGGCATCAAGGTTTTCCACAGCCTGCTGACAGAGGCGCTAAACTCATAGATGGCAGCACTGCCTCCTGCTGGTGTTCAAGCAATACTGCCTCATCTGTAGGTCTCCATTTTAGTTTGCCGTCATACTCTGACATCTGAGTAAAACTGAAGGATTTTATGATTTATTTTGTTCCATTTCAGTCAAAATTAGTCTCAATTTAAGGCTCAATTGCATGTATTTCATTTTTAAACGTACCACAGAGAAGAACATCAAACACACAAAGGGATATTTTTCCAACAAATTTATTACAATCAATGCCAAATTAGACAAGTGATCAAATTTGCGTTGAACGGTTTTATTGAATACTTGGCCCAGGTACTGTTTGACTGGAACATCAACAGAAAGCTACTGACAAAAGACCACAAGCACAGTTGTTAGCTACCTCTATATGAGCACTGCGGGTTAATAAAGCCGGAGGAAAGTGGAAGGAAGAGGAGAGGCAAACAGAAACAGTAGGATAAGAGAGGAGTCAGAGAAAGAGAACAGAGCAGGAGTGAAATGAGTGGATCGATGGTTGGATGGAGTTATGACGAGCGCAGTTGACTTTAGCCTTAGGCCACCTCTTCTTCTCCTTCCTCCTCAAACTCGCCCTCCTCAGCCGTGGCATCCTGGTACTGCTGGTACTCGGACACCAAGTCGTTCATGTTGCTCTCCGCCTCTGTGAACTCCATCTCGTCCATGCCCTCGCCAGTGTACCAGTGGAGGAAGGCCTTGCGGCGGAACATGGCGGTGAACTGCTCAGAGATGCGCTTGAACAGCTCCTGGATGGCCGTGCTGTTGCCGATGAAGGTGGCGGCCATCTTGAGTCCGCGGGGCGGGATGTCGCACACGGCTGTCTTGACGTTGTTCGGGATCCACTCCACGAAGTAGCTGCTGTTCTTGTTCTGCACGTTCAGCATCTGCTCGTCCACCTCTTTCATGGACATGCGGCCTCGGAACACGGCGGCCACGGTCAGGTAGCGGCCGTGGCGAGGGTCGCAGGCGGCCATCATGTTCTTGGCGTCGAACATCTGCTGTGTGAGTTCGGGCACAGAGAGGGCTCTGTACTGCTGGCTGCCTCTGCTGGTGAGAGGGGCGAAGCCCGGCATGAAGAAGTGCAGACGAGGGAAGGGCACCATGTTGACGGCCAGTTTGCGGAGGTCAGCGTTGAGCTGGCCGGGGAAACGCAGGCAGGTTGTCACCCCGCTCATGGTGGCAGAGACCAGGTGGTTGAGGTCTCCGTAAGTGGGTGTGGTGAGTTTTAGGGTGCGGAAGCAGATGTCATACAGGGCCTCGTTGTCGATGCAGTAGGTCTCGTCTGTGTTCTCTACCAGCTGGTGGACGGACAGTGTGGCGTTGTAGGGCTCCACCACTGTGTCTGACACCTGGAGGTAGAAAACGCAAAGGTCAGGGGGGATAAGTCAGAAAAGGAATAAAAAAACAAAAAAAAAAAAAACACCTATCAGCAGTGCCAGGTGATCACTGTACCTTAGGAGAGGGCACCACGCTGAAGGTGTTCATGATGCGGTCGGGGTACTCCTCACGGATCTTGCTAATGAGCAGAGTTCCCATTCCAGAGCCGGTACCGCCGCCCAGGGAGTGTGTGAGCTGGAAACCCTGCAGACAGTCGCAGCTCTCAGCCTCCTTCCTCACCACGTCCATGACCGAGTCCACCAGCTCAGCTCCCTCTGTGTAGTGGCCCTTTGCCCAGTTGTTACCGGCTCCACTCTGGCCTGGATGTAAAAGGTTAATATTGAGCCTTATTCATCCTGCCAAAAGGCATCCGTTCATTATTTAATAAAAGGATAGTTTCTAAATGGAATACAACAAGTCGCTCTAATATGCTCATAATGAAAATGACCTTTCTTTTTCTGTGTTATAATGATCGTGTATGCGTGTGTGTGTGTCTGATCATATACCAAAGACAAAGTTGTCAGGTCTGAAGATCTGTCCGAAGGGGCCAGAGCGAACAGAGTCCATAGTGCCAGGCTCCAGATCCACTAAGATGGCCCTGGGCACATACTTCCCACCTGAAACACAAATGCATGCGTCAAAATATATATATATTTTTTTATTTTATTTTTTTTATTAGAAAAGAAAAGACGGATCACGAGAACACCGAGTTGTGTTTAACGGTCCGGACCTGAAGCCTCGTTGTAGTAGACGTTGATTCTGTCCAGCTGCAGGTCGCTGTCGCCATGGTAGCTTCCCGTTGGGTCGATGCCGTGCTCATCGCTGATCACCTCCCAGAACTAGAGGATCAAAAATAAAAATGTAATTCATACGTCACCCTAAAAACAGAATATACGATTAAAATGTATACGGTTGTTCTTGTGGTAACAAAAGGTTTGCGAGGAGGTTAATTGATAGAAAATGAGTTGACAAAAATTTGATGATCAAATGAAATTATTAATCTGTTATTTAAGACAACAAGTGACGGATTCATTAGTAATAAAAACCCTTTTTAGCTGCAGCCCCAGAATAAAATTGCAATGTCATTCAGATTCATCAAATCAATATCTGGTGCACAGATGTCTGCAGCAGATGGGTTGATCTACACTGAAAATGAGGCTTAACCCGTTATGTGATGCAAAGCAGCCTATTGGGGGTTTATTATCATTGCAGTTAAAACATGACTTAATTATGCGTGTGCTGAAAACCTGGGTGGCTGCAGACGATGCGTTGTGTTCTGCGTCTGAGCCACACCCCTCTCCCCCCTCTCTCCCCCCTCGACCAGACACACGCGCAGTTTAGGAGCTGTCGCTCATCTAAGGGGCATCAGAGGCAGCAGCGGGGGCTGTCTCGGCTCGCCACCGCCCATCCTAAAGGATGCTATTGTGCGCTGCCTTCAGCCATGTACCACGCTTTGCAATCCGCTGGGTTGACCCATTTAGTATTTCCTGTGGACAACATGGCCTCGCATCGGCCGACACGTCGACATAAACACCGTTAAGCTCGATTTCAAATCATATAAAAGCGAGAGCAGTTCATCAGGTTAAGATATCTAGATATACTGTCGACGTGTGTGCGCGTTTTCATACCTTTGCTCCAATCTGGTTCCCGCACTGCCCGGCCTGCAGGTGCACTATTTCACGCATGTTGTTGCTGTGGTGTGTGTGTGAGGAGTCTCACGGAGAAACAAAGGAAGCTGGGCTGACGATGGGCTCTGGTTCTTCAGCGGGTTCGGTCCTGGTCCTCCTGCTGTCGTCGACTGTCTGACTGAATGGCGGACGAGCTGTGTGGCTACGTAGAGAGCTCGCGCCTGCGTAGTAAGCTCTCTGTCCCGCCCTTCCCTCCGTCCGCGGCTGCGCAGTTCAACCCGGTGCTGCAGCATGACGTCATCTCCATGGCAACAGGAACCGGGCACGGCCGGAATATAGGCCTGCCTGGTCTGTGTGGTAGAGAGACCGGCTGTCGTGGGATTGAAATGGATGTGGGATAACACTGGAAGGATAAACAGGCCGGGATTAACTTCTCCTTAAAGCTTGAATCACGGGGTTAAATGTACGCTGACATTAGCATGCATCTAACCCCGTGTTTAATCTAACAACTCCAACAAAGGACTTAATGGACACCGATGTATGAATGAACACTGAGTGTGATGGCGACGTGTAGCCTAGAAATGATTAATTAACTGTAGAAAGACAAGGTATGATAACATCATAAATATGCATGTTACATTGTCTTTGTCTCAGCAGTGATTTACGTGTGTCTGTGTGTCTTGGGTGTGGGCTGTCTTTAGTCATTGCCTGGATGGGAATGGTGTTAGCATGAAATGGATTCATGTGTCATGCAGAGGCTTGCAGTAGGGCCTAGTGTGAGCTTGCAAAAATGTGCTGTTGGGCCCATTTCCAACCCCCCAACTGCCCTCTGCGATTGCACATCTCCAGCTCGACATCTGTCCATATCTAACAGCAAACGGGTTTATGACTGGTTCGAATGTGCACTTCTCTGAGATGCTAAACTGCCAAATTCCCAAAGAAAGTGAGGTGACCTCAGTGTCTTCAGGGATTGGGTTGTACAACCCAATTGAACGTTGTCCATCATTAGGCCCTGACAGAGCTCTTATTAGCAGCCTGGGCAGCTTTTTGAAACAACATTTTACGCAGCTGACAGCCTCTGTGTGCCCTGAACGCCTCAAGTTGAATGGATTCAACACAGAGCAGAAAGACGTTTTTCTTTTGCTGGATACCTGAGGCTATATGACCTTACCAACCATAGTTACCATGCAGATGCGGCAGGAGGCAAATCAGTGCAGTAGCCTACATGAGATTTGTACAAGTTCTTGTCATTAATTTAAATTGTATTATAAGCTATTAAGTGTCGTCCATTTTATGCTTTGTGATAAAGCATAAAAAACGATTTATTTATTACCATTGCCGAACAACAATATTTAAAAAAGACGCAGAAAACTGCAAAAAACGCTCCGTCTGATTGGCAAACAAAATGTAGTGGGTTGCGTCTCGCATTGTCCACCTGTAAAACCTGCTCCGTCTGATCAGGGCCATGTGATGCAACTTGCTGTTTTGTTTGAGCTGTTGCCAATACAGGCAGGAAGTTTGATAGCAGAGACTAAAAGAGAGCGAGGAAGGAAGAAGAATGTGATCAAACAAGAAGGCATTCCCCAACCTCTTCTTGCAGGTGTCCAAAGAAAAAATCGAAAGGGGAATAAGGTGGTGAAATCCAATCACAAGTGATCACTCACTGAACTGCAGTCGTATATTCGTGAAACCGTGTGGATCCATAGTATCTGGTTTCATTCTCCCACATTACCTTCAGCTACATCCATGACGCCCAAAGGTCAGTAACTGGAAATTAACCAGTCTCAACCAGACCCTGAAATACATTGAAGCACAGCCACCAGGCCATAGACTGCAGGCCTACGTATATAAGAAGTGGATGTAGTCTCTGTGACCCATCCCACTGTTGTTTTTGAAGCCTCAAGTTCAGCATTTTGACCGTTGCTATCTTGAAAGGGGAAAACCTTCGTAAACTAAGTGAGCTCACAAGCCTTTTGGAGAAAGTATTAGTAAGGAACCATTGGGGAGTCTCCAGCAGGTGAGTAACTGCGGGAAGTGGTGACATTATCTAGTTGAGCTAGATCTCTTCTCTACTGTTCCCATCATCTGAGAGAAGATCGTCCCAACTTGTGCC